AGCTAAAATGCGCTAAGGGACAAACAAATCAAATGCTGTAATAATTCACGAAAAGTATAAAACTTGACGTAAGGAACGGCGTTGCAAGTTCAATACTGTATCGGTTTGCGTGTCCTAGCTATATTATAACAGGAGACCTTCTGGTTCTAAGTTCCCCACGCTACCACTTGCGCCAGCCCGCGAGCTAACTATGTATGTAGGTGAGAAGAGTTCTTCCACGTACTCAGTAAACATCCACTACCACGAGCCGATTTATAATTGCGATTGTTAATGTATATTCCTATGGCCGTTTATGAAGTGATCAGATCTCATTAGTACACGGTATGGAAGTAGTCGTCACGAGCTAACACGGTAGATGATTTTAGTGGTTGCTATTCACTAAGTAGATGTGACCTAAAGCGTAATGGCCGCCGCCGCCGCCGCCGCCGCTGCCGACCGATGATCACAACCAGAATTGTTTACAGGTGTTGCCCAGGAACCAGTGCATGTGGCCTCACTCTGCTAAAGAATAATTTCAGATTGCCAAGATGAAAAAGCGATTTTTGGGTTACATAGTGTAGCTCAAACTAATGCTAAACATCGCCCTGAGCTGTTCCGACGTATCAGGATCTGACAATTTTCTTCCTTGAACGTGCCCAATATAAGAAGGCAGTGGGCCCAATATTTGATTGTTCGTGACCAACAAGGCCAAAATCTAGATGTGATAGCCAATGCGCGCAATGGCATGCAAGCAATAGATTCAGATGTAAACAGGTTCAGCTTAACCCGGTCTTGCCGTGGGACATTGGGTCGGCCTTAAATCCTGCCTTCGTTTCCGGTGGGAATACGTTCACCGATGAAAAATTTCTGATTGGCACATCAACGGGCGTTGTGAATAGAACGGATATTAGTTCTTACACGTTTACCATTCCTACCGAAAAAGATAGATCCCAGATACACAGACAGTCGTAGCGTTTTCTATGTAAATCTTGGATTAAGGATTACCCTAGAATGTTTCCATATGGGCTGGAACGTAGGAGCATATAATAAAAGCTTACGTAAATAGCTGTTCGAGATCAATATATTACCAGGCGTGCGCCTCTGACGTAACGTACTGTTTGGGTGTCTCCCAAGTAGAAGTTGAAGTTGGATTCCAGCTAATTTGGATTAAGCTGAATTTATTCGTGAGATTATTCGATAGACTCGCTTACGCCACTGCCAATTTGTTCCGACAATTGAGCAGTTGGTTTAGAGTCTAAAAAATCTTTTCTATTAACAAAATATGTGCAACTAAGGACCGTTCTGTGGTCGGCGTTTTCGATGAGCGGGCAGCCTGCAAAAGTTGTGAAGCATAGAAGTTCATTCTCGTTACGAGGGCTCATTCTTAATAACTGTAAGACCGAAGGTCGTCGTGATTGGCTGCGCGTCCAACGATTCGAAAGTGGGCAGCTGACAACGGAGATTATATATCGCTGGCTTTTTTTGAGATACGAGTCCTCGTACGATAGTCAATCACCCGTCTGACTTGGAAACGATTTTAATGGTTGTAAGAAGGTGAGCGGCACCGGGATGTCTTTTTATCAAGAAGGACCGAGCGCTTTGATGCGTATTTAAATGTCTAGAACTGAGAATCAATCATTTAAATTGAAAACATATCAAAATGCTGAGCTGTACGAAATACAGTTGGTTGTGACTGGTACGATTCTGGTCCTACCAATCAATATACAATTGGTAGAATATTCAAAGAAACGACCCAAACGGCCGCCTGTTGAAAACAAAGCAAATAATCGATAGCTTTTCAACATTTATCGAGTACTAGTCGATTTGGCTGTTTGAGTTCGTCTTCTATTAGAAGGCAATGTATGTCGATGCATACGGACGCATGCTGATGCTCCCGTTATGTCTCAGTGGTGTCGTACCGCCGAAAACAAGACCTCCGCGGCACCTGCAATTGCCATCACAGATCGATCCTACGCTTACCTTCGTCTCGCCTCAGAGCGGCAGTTAGGTGACCGCCATTTGAGAACTAGACAACAACTCTATCACCGTCAATGGCAACAGTCACTAGTGGGTCATCTTGCTGTTCGTCTAACAGCACTGCTACGTACACGAGCTTCAAATGAGAATTTGTATTAGATAGTATTTTATGCGTCCTCACGCGGGGACTGCGTTTCACGAAGATGGCTGATTATGATGATCACGATGACCGATAATTACTATAGAGAAGAATCAAACGTTCATTCATTTGGATCTGAGAACGTTTTTGTGTTTTTAATAGTAGCAGCAGCAGCAGCCTGAAACAGGGTATTCAGTTACAACATTTGATAGAGTAGTTCCTTACGTACTAGTTGTTTGTTAGATCTTCTATCGGGATGCAAGCTATAATTAGGCCGAATTATGATATAAAATTTCGTGAGCGATTATATAGCATCTACGTATGATTTCTCTCGAAGCGGTCACTAATATGATGCACCAGTACTACTAATACCAGAGTGATGCTGGCAAGATTTTGCTTTAGAAGCACCTGTCTACGACCACACTAGAGTATAATCCCTCATTGTATTGATGAAACTCTCAAATTTGAGTTCCTCCAAAAGAATATGGTTCCTAAAACCTTCTTTAGAGATACCATTGAAACGGTAGAGGGCAGTATTCGCCTCCTTTGTTATTATAAAGTCTACAGTACGACGGCAGAACAGCATGGTCAGTCTTATCAGAACGAAGGTGTCTCAGACGGGAATTATAATGAATGGCGTTGTTTTTGTTAGCGCAGTATCGCTAGAACAAACAGGTATGACGAATGGAATTTTGAACGTCTATCGCGTACTTGTTCGTTTACAAACTGAAAATGGCCTCCGGCCATTATTTCACTAACTCTTTCGAGAAAATAACATGGCAAGTAAGATGATTTTTCTCGAAACGCTTTCTGGCCAGCGACACGTCCTTAGAGTTAATAACTTCATAAAGCAATCTCCAAGTTCCACATCAAACGCCGCTAATGGCCGTTGCTAGGGTCACGTATCGCAGGCGCTCGTGTCCCCTGGTTACGTTGCATTTGAGAGCGACGGATCGAGCACTGTAAAAAGCTAATGCTGCATTTTACCGCGTATATATATACATAGAGTTTTGTAAGAAATATTTGAGAAAGCGCATACTTCCGTTACCTAAACTAGAGTGAAACCTATTTACTGTGAATTTACTACCGATGTCAGATGAAAGCAGTAACTCTCGAACGATAGCTTTTCTGATATTTCAAAGATATCTTTCTTCGATCGATCTGCTACTCAGTCTCATATACGATAACTTATTGTATGATCGCGAAAGTCAGGTAACATTAGGGACTTCGCGAACGCTGACTTCAGCGCCGCCGCTAACATGCACACTTATTGTTGTTGTACAGAGTAAGAATATGACGAGAAATAACAGTCGACCTTCCATCTGTCTCATTGAAGCAGTTGTTTGATTTCGTTGAACAAATCCTTATGACTAGATATGAACGATTTCGCTATTCCTAGTATCTACTAATTGCGATGAACGACACAGTCGCAGATAATTGTTTTGACTGGATGATCGGTTTCCTTCACTCTGATAGCACAAAAAATCTACTAATTTTTTTTTTAATAAATTTCCTTAATATTATTCACTCCCGATGTGGAGAAGGTAGCGCCTTATGGGAATATCAGCGTCAAAGCATGCCTAGAAATACTGAGAAGTTTAGTTTGTAAAACGAGCATCGTACGTATTTCCTATTCATTTCATCACAATAATGTATCAATCGCAGATTGAAGGCGCCTGTTAGAGTACGCTAAGTAGTTCGCTAAACGTAAATCCCTATTCTCGCTTTCAAGATCGCACCTGTCCATTTCGTGAACCTGAATCAAAATATCGATCAACAGTCGCAAGTTGCTATGTAATGTAACGCTAAAAACTTTGTGGATTATGATTTAAGCGAAAGTTTTCAGCGGCGTCAAATGGCGCGTTTGCAAGTTCGAAATAAGTGTACACATAAGTTCGCGAACCTTACGGGCTTTGACCCTGAGCCGTCACTCGTGAATCAATGTGCTTGTACACACTGTTTGAGCATCTTTTGTCGAAGTATTGAACGTCACCGTGTGTGAAATCGATCAAACTGAAAAAAAAACACTCCGTCTGTGAGATTATCTGTAATCGTTCCGACATTAATGGTATTTCGTTGGCCGTCTCTAATGCCCCACTTACTACTTGGCAGGTGGCGATATTATATTGCTTTGACACCGGGCTTTCTAAGCAGGATAGTCAGCACCGGTGAAGTGAATCACCGTTATTTTCTCCTGCTATGGATCTTATCCCAGATTCCTTTCCATCGACACTTCTTGCAGCCAGCATGTTTGGCTATCTTGGTCCCAGATCGAAACGCGACATGTAAAAAACCTTTTTACACGAAAAGCTTAAATGAACTTCCGCTCGGCTGCCTACGCTAGTCTCGATTGGTTCGCTCAAGAACTACCGCCGATGTCGATTCCATTCGTGTGAAAACGTTCATAAACGTTCCTTCTCGACGATGTGGCACAGACTGCTTGTACCAAAGGAACGTTTAATTTGGTCGCTCGGTGATGAGCAGACAACGAAAAATATCTTAACTACAGAAAGAAGGAAAATGTTCACGGAAGACAAAAATAATGATTTACTTGCGATATATGGATTTTTTTTCTTGATGAACCAAACTTAGTTGTCTGTTTATGCTCACTTACTTACGTGAGTGGACACCCGAGCAAGGCAGGCAGTAACCTTCTTTGTGCTAGAACCGACGTTGACACGCGAAACTGTTAGCGCAAGCCGAATACATGCCCTTAAATTTAACGATTGATGCACGGGCCGAGTGTAGCACGCCTCGTTCCAGAATTCTAAAACAGGTACAGCAACTTCTGCTTGACCCCTATGGACTGCAGGACTATTCAAGTCTCGCAGCGTGCCACGTGCTAGCGACTGATAGCAACGATTCTGTTAATTGAAATTATTCTGGGATAACCATTCATTGCTGATTGAAAACGAAAGCACTTTCGGCCACACTGACAGTCGGTTAAGTAGCAAGCCGATCAATGTTATAATTGGACCTCGTAGCAAACAAGCGTCTATTATCCGTCGTTGCTACGCTTTTTTTCTTTACTCTGTACGACTTAATCACGATGGTACCTGGTGCAGCAACCATAGAGATATATACAATTAAATTACGAGAATTACTAACCTGATGCGTTTCTAAATTACCCCAACTATACGTAATGGATACGATATACTTGCAGTTTTTCTATTAATCGATACTTTTCGACCACGAAAGTATCATGTTGGTCTATATTCATAAGGTGCACGACATCATTGAAAAAGTGTTATTTATTTGACTTCCTTTAATTTTCGCCATTAATTAATGTTAGCTCGTGTTCTATAAAACCGTAGTCGGTGCTTGTGCTGAAAATGGTATCGACCCATAAAGTTTACTTCAATCAACGATTGAGGTCACTCAACCGGACTGACTCCCATGTATTGTGAGCTACATATATAAAACATAATGCCTGTCTACATAGACAAATCTAATAGCACTTATGACGGGCCTGCCGATGTAGCCTGGATGATCAGTTCTGTGGAATAAAACGTATGAAGTATATTTTTGCAGCCCCTGCTGCCATGCCAGCCTTTCGACTGAAGAGCGAAGTGCGTAAGTATTTATCGCGCATCAATAGAGCCTTGCGCGAATCCTTTTCGGTGCTGCTCGGTTACTCGTGTTGAACAAAATTGTAGTTGACGTTTGGATGACAGTAATCAGAATGGTTTCCGGCAGATTGGTCTGAAATTTTGAATGGCTCGAAACAATATCATATACTTGTTTGAATCAAGTTTAATTACTGCTAGTGTAGTGTTCAACTTAACCATAACATGCGCGGTTAATTTGCATATTAAGAAAAATAGCATAGTTTTTGACGAGTAGATGGCGGCAGATAATTTTCGTAGCAACACAGAAAAACGCAATTTCCAAATCGAAAAATTCCAAAAAAGCGAATCTTTCGGATAACTGGATCGTTTCTTAGGCCTAATTGCTAAAAATGTTACGTCGAGTTACGCCAGCTAATTTTTGGGTGGCTATTTACCACCGACTGACCCTTCTCTGCGCCGATCTGTCTCCGGGCTGAATGTCGACGTGACGTATTGAGTTATTGGATTTTGCTGGTTTTCGAAAAGCAACCTACTCATTGCTTCATAAAGCCCACATTGTTAAGTGTTGCCATTTTCATGTATACAAGCTGTCGACGACAGCGACTAGACGCCATCAAGAAAAGAACGGGTTTTTTGAAACTTTTACGTCCACATGTAATCACGGTATGACAATAAACGAATCTTTCTTATTTCTATGAAATTAGCCGCTCGCGACTGCGCTTTTGGCCGTCTACGGCGATACGCAAAACGCAGACACATAGCACCACCAGTATTTTTAGGTTGTCGTTAAAACTTGGACGAATGCTGACAGCTTAAGTTGGCACTTGAAGTAGGTTGAGATGTTTACTATGATTTCAGCTAGTTGAGATTGAGATGTTAGGCGTGTTCCATAGCTAGAAAGCTATACGCACGGTATTTACCGTAATAATATGGTACGAGGAATAAGTTCGAAAAACTTTGCTGAAACCATGCGGGACACAGTATTTTACTCGTGTGGCCTTAAATAGTTAAAACAAAAAGAAAAATCAGATCCTTACTTGCTATTAACTGTACGCACTATTGAATCTGTCTGTACCGTTGAGTTACTGATATCGTGGCTGCTATAAACGTGACAGGTCCGCTTTGACTGGCTTTGTAATGATGAATTAAAACAGATTTTGTATTTCATATATTAAACACATGACGTCCGTAGTAGTTATCTGTGCCTTTTTAGTCGAAAGGGTAAATTAATTTACGGTGTTACTTGCTTTGTTTTTGTTGCTATGCTCGTCGTCGTCGTCGTCGTGCCCCTTCAGTCGTTGTTCCTGATACACTTCTCGATGTCAGCATGGTAAGGTCACTATAAAGGTTGGTTGTTCCCAATTAAACTATCTGTGTTTCCAATATATACATATATACGTGTATGAACGTCTCGAATTCACAATTTTTTTGCCTTGTAAGATCTTAGCGTTGGCTAGTCTGGAAGCACTCATTAGTACGCAGTAAGTAACAGTACGAGGAATACTAGTACGTTCCTTAACTGATCGGTTCTGAATGCGCGTAAGTTCGTTCCCTGTCCGGTGTGTCCGTCCTGACAGCCTGCTTTTGCGCCTAATATAGCCCCGATTAGCCTTACAGTTACTTATCTATCGACAGGCATATTGATAAACGTCAAGTAACAATATAGCCTAACAATATAGCAAACATGTGTGCTATTAAATTGTCGATATTTATCAATGAAACTATTCCCATTGTACAGCGCAGTCGCGTAACGAGCACTATTGTTGAAGAAGCGAATCGTTAACAATATCGCGACGTATAGTGGAGCTGTTAGTTGGAAAAAGGACAATTTCGGTCCTGGCCCTAAACTATACGTTTAGCCCAGCTAGTAAAGTGAAATTGCGTAGTTCTTGGTTAGTTGAGTCTCGGGGCATTTATTCGGTACTCACTGTCATATTAGTATAGTTTGGGTATTTTCGTTGTACCAGCCAGCTGTAAAGTTCAGCTAAGAACAGTGGGTATACGAAACGGAAACTATATTTCGAAAGCATACAACACAATAAAAACACTCAACATATGCCCTCAAAATGGCAATGCGCCACTTGACTGAGGTTAAATAGTGTCTAAAATTAGATTTAATAACGATAATGTGCAGTGAAATTGTGCATTGACGAGTGAAGTCATTTCTAAGCAGCTGCAATAGGTGGCAAGGGAGCTTTCTTACACGAAATAATATCAATCTAAAGAAGAGATCAGTTATATGACTGAGGCATTTTAGCTATTCATACTGCGTCTCGCAATTTGTCCTTGACGTAACAGTTGAAACGTGCAGTGAAAAAAGTAGGACGAAGATATATAATTAGTAACGGCTTGTGTTGAACATTTTTCGCGGGCCTAATTTTGTTCGAAGAGTTCACACTGGTTTTCATTTCTCTTTGCAGGATAATGGTCGGCAGTTATGACGGATTTGGTTACCTCTTCCATAGCGTCATCCTTCTTATCTTGCTTCTGTACAGCATTCATTTTACGAGTAATTGTGAGGCGGTGGCCTTCGTAAGTACCCACACGACCGATCTTGACACCTATACAGATGCACAAGCTCACTGTTAACAAACAATTCCTGGTAAATTTAAACGCTTCTTAACATTTACCTTAGATTGCTTATCTAACAGAGCTATTGGGCATTAAAATGAAGTGACGCTGCAAAAGGATGCTTATTAAAAGCCAACTATCCACTGCAGGTCCCTTAACAAAAACACATCTATTTCAAGCCGAACATCTTCAACGGACTAAGTAATATGTTACCGCACACAGTTTTAGACAAGCGACTTCTAAAAACGCTTTTAGCTTCTTTTAACTAGCGCCTACAAAATATCTGCATATAGCACATGCACACATTTTACATGATAACAACATATACATAGATATGTGATCTTTTTTTTTGAGACCATCATAATATTGTAAAATGTGTCGAAAATGATAGATACTCACTATCACATCTGGTATTGTCAAAACACTATACTATAACTAATAATATACGACTCTGATGTCGTTTGGTAGCTGACTAATAAATTTTATGTAATATCTGTTGTCGTTTGTGCTGCTGGCAGTCGACGTTTGTTGAGGTATGCTCGATGTTTCTTGAGCTGACCTTCCTTGTTTTTCACGGAAGGTTCTCGTTCTCCCTTTTGCTGGTTGTCATGCACATGCTTTTCCGGATATTAGCCATCTGTGTACTCTTGAAGGAGTTTAACGTTCGCGGCGGATCAGATCTCTACAACGCACGTATGTATTATATTCACTCGTACTAAACAAACATTCAGCGATTATCGAGAATAATATATCGGGCCACTGTGTGTGGCAGCTGGACAACTTGGGTGGGCAGTTTTCTTCTGGCATTATATATTAAGTGATTGAGATAACAATTTTATTCTGTGCAGCTGTCATAGTATAAAGTGAGCGTGTATTTAATATGCAAGGCAGATATTTATATCAGAGCAGATACTCCTGTCTCGGGTTGGCATTCGTAAACATGAAGACGTACTTTGCATTCCTCAATAGTACCTAAAACGCATACGAAGCCGTTGATCAAAACTGGAACCATTGTTGACAGATAGCTGTGTTGGCTAATCAAAAAAAAAATATATCAAATTATTTTATTGCTAGGCCTATGGCCTTTGCCGTGCTAGCCTATTGTTTTGTCCAGCTTCTGAGATTCCAGTACGGGGCACGGGTCATGGGAACAAGGGTTTTTACGAAAGCAGGATCTGTGCTGCTGAATATTCCTCCTTGGATACTTTAACATCTATGTTCGGATCAGTAATGGCACAGTCATTAATAGTTAGTTAATTTTCGTTCGTTTTTAGTTTTCGGAATGCCGTTGCGTTTCTCATACGACGACCTTGAGAGACCTCATCTTTCCGTACCTCCGCCCCTAGGTCAAGGCGAGTACATGAAGAGTCGTGCCCAACAGGGACTGCCACGTTAGGCGTGCTATACTGTGCTCGGATGATCCGTGGGCGTTTCGTGGTTTAAAGAAGATACGCGTCAGCAAATAGTAGGCAGGAAGACAAACGTTGCAATTCTACAGTCTTGACAGTTTTAATACATTAACTTCTGCAACTGATTTATGATATAATATTAATAAGGGTGGCTAGAAGAATTAACCGATCGTACTGTATATATAAAAACCGTAATCTAAACAAGTGATGGAATATCGTTATTATACATATATATGCAATATGGGTTATGGTCACTTGTTACGTAGGCATCTGAACGCGGCGAGATCGTTCGTGAGAGAAAGATGAATTTCTATCCTTGTGATGAGAACGCATTTATTTTATGGCGAATCAAAGGTTACTTCCGGACAAAGTGCCAAAAGAAACGATTCAAATCAGCTGACGCAGCAAAAATAGTCTTACGCCGAAGCTGCCGGATGACCCAGTAAGTAAATGTATGCACAAAAGGGCAGAGAGTCAATATGAATTATGAGCGATTTCCCTTCTTTATCGAACGAATACAGTCATTTGCATGAAAGCCGGTGCCGTTGCAATTTTTCGTAGCGAAAAAGTAGTTTGGAAAGACAGAGAAATTCGTTCTGCTTCGACTAGAACCCAGCCCGTAACGACGACGTTTGAAGCTAAACGGGATCGCGGACATGGTGGTAGAGATGGTTAAATGAAAATGGTACATGACCTGCTGAAGATCGATAGGTCAATACAACTGCTCGCTATAGAACTAGCCGTCTGAGTGTTTCCCTTTTCGCCTGGGCCTTTTGCCGTTGTCAACGCAGAGTCACGACCTCATGATATTATGTAATGCTTCCATCGAAATAACGCTGGTTCGCTACCTCAATAGCCGAGCTACTCGAGCTAAATATGTAAAACCACGATATGTTTCGTTGGCATACAATGTTCAAGTAAAGGAAGAAAATAACGAGCAACTATAACCGTCCATTGCTGATTAGATCGCTGTAACAGTTGCGATGCTGAAAGGAAATCGCCATTGAAGAACGTGTAGCAATGAGGGGAGTGGTGCGAGCCACGATAGTAACGGCGAGGCTGGTCAGCTCTGGGTCTTACCAATGAGAGCACCTATGTTACCTTTTAGGCCTACCTGCTCCCAGCGACATCGGAGAAACGACAAATGTATCAGCTATCTCAGGCTTGGCAAATAGTTCCATGATCAGTATGTTAGAAAGGTCTGTGTGACTACGGTAAAAAATAAGTGGTGTAGACGAGAGCTCTGCGACTATCTGTTTACTACTCAATGGTTATTAAGTGTAGCTGCGTTGCAAAAGGACGTCTTTCAAAATAGTTTGTTGTCTTCTACGTTATTTAGTTACGTTCTCCTAATTCATCATAGCGCCGAGGCAAATAGGATCCAGGCTGCAAATAACAGACATCTTCTAGTCAAAGGAGTAGAATTTTGTATCTTTACTCCTATAATGAGTGTGTTACAGTTGCTTGTTAGAATTACTGAAACCTATTTTTTAAGAACTTGAACGGCTTTAAATAACTTGAAGTGCAGCCAAAAATAACAATCGTTATTGTGAATAGTCATGACGAAAGAAGCGAAATGTTTCATGTCAATCTTAATATCTCAAATCTCGTACATGATTGTGCCCACTGCGCGCGGCTAAAAAAAAATAACAAACAATACTACACGGGATTGATGCGGTTTATGTAGTTTGCTTCACCGATTCTTTTCCAGATTCGTCGGTTGTCAGTGACCAAGCAGTGTAATCCGTTAGAATAGAAGATGGCAAATTAAGACTGATTAAAATTATATATAAAAAAAAATATGGAAAATAAAGAAACAAAAACGATTGTTAATCCCTTTTAGAAACTCTAGTAAAAGTCTCTTAGAAACCTTAAAGGCGACCGGAAGGTAAGTGAATATGAGCCAAACCTCTTTCTTATCCCTAGTTGGCAATTTTCAACGTTTCCATTCGTTACCCTTGTGTCACTTCAACTTTGCGTTCAATTTTTTCTAATAATCCACAGATACATATATATATATATATATATATATATTTTTTTTTTTCTTTATAAAATCAATCGTTTTCCTGCGTTACTTATAGCTGGGGCAATGTACGAAACGTCGAAGTCGTTACATTTTTTTGAAAGATATAAAATTTTATCAGTAGAACAGCAGGGCGTAAATCGAATTCGAAAATATTTACCCTTTGTTTTTTTTTATGACAATATATCAATTGAGAAAAGAAATTTAGCGATCGTCGTATCTGTAGATTCAATGCGTTTGTTGCTGATGATACGGCGAACGTTTAGCCGACGCGTTTTAAGTCTTCAGCTAGATAAATAAATACGTTTTTATGAAAATTACATATGTCCGAATGCGTACCGATAATTTTTATTGATCTAATCGCTATGTCTGTAGAAAGTATTTCGCTAATAAATTAGGTGAATTTTTAAAAAACTCACGCTCGAAAACCCTTGGTTAAACCTCACCAAAACAATTTTCAGCACGATTCAGGTAATATCAGAGAAGCATAAGAAACACACTTTTGTGACACGGTGAAGACCATAACGGTCATAGCAGTGTATCTGGCACGCTTTGAAAGCAACCGATATAATAAATCGAGTGGACTCTTCCGAATAGGTTAGAGGGGACCTATGTAGCGGCCTAGGTACCATTAGTAAAGCGTACTATTCTCTAACAGAAGGACACAATGTCCGGCTGGTTTTTTTGGTGAGCTTTTTTTGCTCATTTACTAGGCATGCACAGTGCTCGTCTGCTAGTATATTGCTGCATGGTAACACTTGTTTACATAGGTCATACTGTGATGAGAACGATCCGACCAGTCCATTCTGGTCCTGCCTTTCGTATCAATGAAACTGAACCACGACGATTTACCAAAGTCGAAGAGTAGCCCGGGCTTGTATTTATTCTGTAATATCAACAGTGGACACGATTTTTTCAGTGGCATTGCAGTTGCCAGCTCCGCGCTATGTCGACGTAAATGTTATAAACGGTACTTATGTAGCATAAAAGAATGACGTTCAAAGTATACTTGTCAGTTGTTTGTCAAGACGGGTCGATGAAATCGATTTGCACCATCATGTAGCACAGCGTGAATACCATTCATTTACAATTATCTCTACTATATATTGTACCATCCTAAACACATGATCAGGCTCCCTATTTGCGTATCGCGAAGGCCCGATTTATCATAATTTCTTTCGTCTGACTTGCTCCGCGTTGCGACCTAACGGCCTGGTAAATCAATGAACCTGCGGCTCTGACGTATCTGAGCCTAGAGAAAATCTGAAACACTATCTTTAGCCGTTGTTTTGCCGCGAATGATATCAAAGTTAGTCTCATTATTTTTCTTTGTTGCTTTTGCTACAGATAAACCCATGGCGTTTGGCCTTTCGTCGTGTTTCTGTGTTATGCGACAACTAATGTAACGTTTACTATGTTTCATTAGTTGTCGCATGCATTCGGCCCCGTGGACACTCCGAGGCAGTTGCCAACAAATCTAGCGGCCTTAAGAGCTCCTCTTGAGTAGATGCCTTAGCTTTGATCTTTTAACTGTCCTTGTAATGATGTCCTGAGTAATGTAGTCTCTTAGGATAAGGTAGCTGAATGCAATTGAAGATTGAATCTTCTTGGTTTCGGTTAATTAAAGTTTGTTAGTAAATTCTAATTATCGGCACCTGGTGAGGGTTTTTGTTTTGCTCGAATCACTAACTAGGATCGATTTATTACTTTTTAACAGCAGCATCCATTTCTAAGGGTGTATTGATGTAAAGGCTCTACACGCGTAATCTCTTCCCTTGCGCTTTCAGCGTTGACCTCGTCAGGTTATCGTGACACTCGAAGCACAACAAACATCTACCTTTAAAAAAAGATTACATTTTGGAAAGCGGAACTCTTCCTATCTTTTTAGCTATAGTGGAGAAAAGCCGCTTGAAAATGTTGTGCTACTCTTTTCTGTTAAGAGTAGATGATGGTGCTTTGCTTTGGCAACAATCTCCTATGCCCTAGGATTGAATCGTGCTTTTCTATGGAAGCTGCGACCGCGTCAAAGGTAAAAACTCAAAATAGAACCTGCTGCTAAATAACTCGAAGATCTAACAGCAAACGAAAGTATGCATATTTATACAAACATTGACAAAGAACCATCAGACCTGGCGGCGTGGAAACCTTTTAGATAAATTAGCATTTTCTAATTCATTCCAAAAAAAACGTTTCGCATAGGAAATAAAATTGAGGATTTAAAAAGACTACGCTTTGTTGGTCTGAGCAGTTTTTCTTTTTGATTTGATCAACGCGCGTTTATGACGGGCGCCTGATTTGATTGAATGATTGTCCGTTCTCGATTGAGATCGACATCTATTGATAAAGCTATTACCGTAGCTCACGCAACTGTTCGCTAGTGATAGGACGACCGTCGTTGAATTGACAAAAGCACGAAAAGTAGTTAACGTAAACACGAATAAGCCAGTGATCTTCGAGCAACTATACATTTCATGTTACAACTTTTGATTTACGTATTTTTGGTAGCGGGTCGCGCAGGTCTTTCCATGAACTAAGCCCCAGCTGCAAATGACCGTCATACCCTCTGGCGAAACAGGTACTAGTTTCCATCAGTCCTTTCGCCCTTAGTTAGCATTCTTTCGCAAGCGTTCGGCGCAGGCTTTCTGCGATAAAATTTTTAAAAACAAAAAATCAAAAATTGCCAGTGAGACAAACACTTGATCAGAAACAGGTACTATAATGGACAGCACAGGTTTTATGAATGACATAGGTCTGAATGCCTCGAACAAAGTTCTTAATGTTTTGTGATCTAGGGACGATTTAAAAACTTTCAAAGACGAAACACGCGGGTATGTCCTGAGCAGGACGACATGTTTAGTTGCCTAAATTGCAAAAATAATCCCGCAGAATATTCGTTGGTGGGTGCTAAGGTTCTAATTGGTTTTCGCTTATGTGCACGAAACGGAATCTTCATTGGCGAGCGAGAGTAACAGCTTAGTGGATTAGTAACGCATCTGCTTGATAATCTCAGGGAGACATTGTGGTCTAGGTTCGAACTCGGACGTAGACCGACCTCGTATCGTGAGTACTGGGAGCCAGCTAACGATTAACGGCAACGTACGTAACCGAACGTGAAACCCGAAACGTCATGCAAGCAATATATGTGCGTCTCCGATATTGACTCGTTAGATTTTGAATTTGAGTGGTACTTTTACGTAGGTACGGAATACCACCAGGTGTATAGGTCAACTGTGAGAACCATCCTGAATGGCTGATACTACTTCTGTCGAGACGACTACCTACTGATTAGCAGTTGACCCTTTGAATTGTTTTCGAGGTGGTACGGTTCTGTTACAACTCGGATTTAATGTTCAGATACTGTCTCAGAGCTGGCTGAGCGCATACCAACGAGTGTTCCTCAATTACTAATGTAATTTAAAATTATCGAAAGATCAAAATCGCTTAAATAAATATTGCTACAATTTAAAAAGCGATTTCGGTTAAATCTTCTTTTCTTGCTTTTCACGTACATATTGCACGTAAGATGATGAATATTCATTCATACATCGCAAAGCCAAACGTAGACGTGAATTTTCAGACACAACTGTTAACGTATGAATTTAAACTTAAATCCGGCACCTCATACCCGCTACGCTTGTTTTCTGTGCCGTATCTAAATTGTGCGCGAAGTTTTAGTTACTTGAACCTTAATCTTCTGTTTCATAGTTCGAGGGGAAAATCTTAGAGAACTGTGGCGGAATGTGCAGGTGTACACCAAAGCGGGCAATTGATAATCAAAACTTTCTCCAACGACAACTTCCAAGAACATTTCGTTGAGAAGCGCTACGATTCCGCTGCGGTTTTAACGCTACCTTCATCCTAGCAACCTTCATTTACCCGCTTTTCCGGTCACGTAAAATTGACCTTAAACAGATGCTTTAAGCTTTATATTCGTTAATATCTCTTCTATCGTGACATGAACCGTGTATCTACAACCGATTTCGAACCAAGACCATCGCACCAGTTTTATAGACAAACACGTCACCACTGCGCGATCAGAGGGGGCAACTTTACATAGGCTACCCAACCCAAAAACAGAACAACAAAAATCACAGTATCTCACAGCTTCGAGCAGGACCAGCCGCCCCCCTCTCTAGAAACATGTCGTGCCCCTTCTGGTAATTCTATTTACGGTATTAATGCATACAGGCAATTATTCTTCGTCCTGTGTGGTCCTGTACGATTTCATGCAGCTGTTCTAGCTGTGCCACATCACTCGTCGGTAGTTTGACCTTGAAATTTTTTCTGTCTCTCATGATTTGTTTGACCTCTCTATTAAAACAAATACCTCAGGTCATGTTTTGCTATAAGGCCTATGATATAATTATAACAACTAATTAGATAGTTAATCATGTCGATAACACGAACGAAAATACAGGCGCGCAAACTACGAACACAGCGATTATGGGAACATGATTTATTGACATGCTGACAAAATGTCTATTTCGAGCCCTCACTGGCCCGTCTTGCTTCAGCCACTCGTCCATCGAGCGGTCCAAAAGTAATTACTTGATTAGGGAAAATCGATGATGGCATGGAACGAATACAAATGCAAGCCAACGCGCTACCTATACACGTTGATACTGTAGCCATTGTTTCTACATAATAGATATTTCGGCGCATCGCTATGTACTACTTACTGTATAGAAGTCGGTACGGATTCCACCATGCTACGAAGATGCCTTTTTCTCTATGTGGGAAAAGCAGTTTTTGGCGTTTAAACAGTTTTATGATTTAATTGGCCACGGTCTACCTGTCGCGCGTACAACCGCCGCCCGCTTGGCTCTTAGCTGCGTCATTGCCTTCACGATCATTTATCCCAGAGCACCATAGGCACATCTGAAGCTAGCACGTAATGATTTTCGACTCAGATGTGACAGCAGACACATAATGAGTTCTCTATTTTGTGGTTGTCGTCTTGATTCAGACCACCGTCCGTTCACCGTTTCCTGTCTAGTCATTATTGATCTCCCGTGTTGGATTCGACATACATTTTCGCCTGTTCGCGCACGACCGTGTACGGATACAAACACGGCTCAGTAAGAGACCTCATGCCAACTTTACCGGTATCAATTTAACCGCTTCGTCTGTGCTTTGGAAATGAGTCTCTTCGTCGCCAAATGTTTTTCTCTGTACATTTTTCATATATAATAACCTGTCTTCGGTTGTCTTAGTCGCAGAAGCTGGCCATCAAGCTGAAAGCTGAGTCATTTCGTCATCTTTTATATTCATTTAGTCTTCGTGAGACGACTTTCTGTTATTTTATGTTAGTATATTCATGTTGTTGTTATCGATGTCGTCCACTATGGGTGGCTTTGGGAGCAGATTCTGTTGTAGCCTGTCCATTAGGACGTGCTATTCGTATTATTGCCACTGTGGTATCGTTTGCTCTCTGTCGGAAACGGCCAACTATGATTTTTACATAGATATCGAACTTTGATTGAAGTTTAATTAACGAAACCGGAAATTCTTATACAACATCAACAGATAGCTCATATCAACTAAAAACATACATATTGATTATTTTTTTCGAAAATTGGGCGTCGTTTTTCCTAGTAACTTTTGTTGTAGGTTGGGCTAGTCCCAGTTTGGTAAGATCTATTATGGCTGACTGAGCTCGTTTCAATCTTTTCGTTGTCCCTTAGAGTTGGCATATTATATGCCAGATATCCTTCCGAGTCACCTAATATTGCATTGGCAAAGTTACCGATACTACATTATAACACGCTAGCCGCATTTAATCCTTTGTCTATTTGTTCCGAATATGTATATTCTATAGAAATTGTCACAAGCAAGTAATGAACCTCAGTAGCGTTTATAATCGTTACTTCGTCCGTTTAATTCGTCTTCGATACAAGCGTGCTTCAAAGCCGTCTTCCACGCACACTTTTACGTACCTAACTGTTTCCGTGCGGATAGCCACTCGTAAGCGGTTGTCTAAATAAAAGGCCAACTAGGTGACAAGGAATAAGGTTCGGATCCTGCATCGCTATGTAGCTTAGGTCCGCGGGGATCGAATGTATTGATTTGGCTCCGCAATAACTCGTATATTTAGATTGGTAAATGCAGAGTTGCCAAGATATACATTTGGTCGAATTTTTTTTGCTCCACCTCCACGAAACTAGGTAATTTTACCCAAATCTGTGCTATATGTCTTTATGAGTGTTTTTCCATGGGTAGCCAAATCCCTAACTAAAAAAATGTTTAGTTTGAATTAAAATTTTCGTACTGAGACACAAACACTAGTAACCTCGTAGGATTCTTATAGCGTCTTCGACAATTATGAATGGTACACGTACTTATTTTTTTGCAAGCATGAAAAACGCTGCTGAGATAAGATAATATGACTATCGATTGCAAGACATCGGGTAAGTACGTAGGAGCGTTCTCCACGCGGCTTTAGAAAGCACTAGCCCACCGAGTCGTTTGGCCAACTATTTCTTCTTGATAAAAAAAAAGCTACCTTTTAGCTGTCAAAACACTGTATCGTAGCATAGTGTAAACAAGTCACGGTAAAACGTGTGGGGTTATCACATAGAATTAATAAAAGTTTTTCCAAATGTTTCAAGTGAAATTTTCGTATAGACCTGTAGTACTTATAAAGATACACCACGCGTATTTTAAATTATACTCCGAGACTTATTACAGAAAGAAAATTTTGAATAATCTTCAAAAAGATATATTTCGAGCGTTAAGGCGTTTACCCAATTCGTTCTGCTACCCGAATGCTATCGAGATGACAACAAATCAACAAAAAAAACTTATCAATTCGATGGGTTTCAGTAGATGGGTCCTAGCTGATCGAGCCCAGGATACGGTCGTTTTTTTGCGATAGTTGCTCATTGTATTGTCTATGCGAAGACTGTATTACCGAGAAGCGTGGATTAGCTGCGCCGCGAAATATCTTCACAGCTAGTGTGAAAGATCTCTATTAATCTACTGTTTGTTGAACAGGTATAACCCGGTGGACTATGTTATTTATGTAGTATGGTATGCATCGAACTTCTACATTGAGATCGACAGACTGTTATTAAATAGTACGTTTACTATATATTGTTATAAAGTGACATAAAAGTTCATATTAAAAAACTTAAACATACATTGAAAACGTGCGACACCAGAACGGTATGACTGCATCGACATTTCGTATGTAGCAAACATCAATTTAACCGAGGAAGGAATCTCCCAGCGAAATCGAACAACTTTTGTGATCTCTGTAAAAGACAAACCCTTAATCTTTTCGATGATAACTTGCCGGAATGTTATTTACCTCAATGTTAGGCATTTTTCCCTCCTGCGGCTTACTTACTTAGATTTCGAAGCGTGCGGAACTTGTAAATTGTGAGTCTGGTTGCGTATAATTCAGCTTTTTTTTTAACGTTTCTAGCAGTACGATGTTCGTTAGATATTGTTTCGAATGGTGGGCCTTTACCAGCATAAAAGGAAGTGTGTTGAACTTTTTGTCCTGGTTTCGAACCTAAACCACCTTGAAACCCTGGATTTTGAGGCAAACACGTTACTGTTGCACTATCATGAAGACTTTTTTTTTCTCTACCTTAGCCTGACCAAACTATAAAGAATTCGGTCTGACAATACCCATAAAATTATTTTATTATTTAACGAATTATTTTACAGAGAACCATACAAAACGCGAACTTACTTTCAAGACAGATATTGGCCTTTGCAAGACTTTGTTTTTAAAAAGCAATATTTACTAATAAATTCAATAGGTAGCCATCGGAAAGGGCAAAACCATTATATAAGTATTGCAGAACGTCTAGCACACTGAACTTCTTTCTTTACAAAACCTAAAAAATACCGTTTTCCATACCAATTTTGTGATTAACACGTTCTACCTAGGTAGAATACCACTTTAGTGGTACATCAACAAAATAGAAATAAGCTAACACATAGGTATAAAAGGTACCTAAATCTACCACACCAATGAACTTATAATACTGCGTAATATTCGAAGCCTCTTTCAGCAATCTTGATCACACTGTATCTATGGGCTTCTCACGTTTCTCAGATCTGTTCATTACCGGTTCTTGTACTATTGTACTTTTTGGTGCGAGCATATGTGCTTGCATGCCTTATAAAACCTTATTAAATGATTTGCAATGTGAGTAGGCGCGCGTCGCGCACTCACTTGGCAATGTTACCTTGCTGGGGTGGTCACAGAGCCCGCTTCCGACCCACCCAACCATAGTTTCCATGTCATTTTCGTTTTTCAAGTTATATCAGACAAAAAAGCGTTTGTTGAGCGTGATTTTTTGTGCTGATGAAGTGAAGAAAAGTTTGGTCAAGCGCAAACGCCATTGATACAGCGTCTTCCGTATCCGCATGAAGTTCCATCGAGGGCATTCGTGACATGATAGAGGTAAAGGCCATCCCGTCGAGGAGGATAGGCACAACGAATTTTACAGCGCGCCAGATCACCAGGATCTGCGTCGCTCCACACGTTCGGGACCTGGGGATACTTCTGTTTGCAGAACGCTGTTGGAGTCACCTTTTCGCCAGGAAGATTGCTATTTAATAGGAGACTCCGGTCCGAACTGATACCCGTCCTGGGGGATCTGGTTGATGCTAGCGAAGGCATGACATTGGTCAAACCGGGAAGCTCCGGAGTGGGTGGTAGAAAAGACGGGATCGAGGGGGGCTTTGGGATATTTACACGAATCGTTTGCAGGTGCTGTTGTTGTTGTTGCGGAATCTGTTGAGGCAGCGTAGCAGGCCTTTGCGTTTCCTGAAGGGTTACGGGGGGTACCGGTTTGATTGGCGTATTTGAAACGGGGTCTGGCGGGGTGGTCTCCTGACGGAGGCAATGATGAGACGGGCTGCGCACGAGGTATTTGATTGAGTTGATACAGCATTGTGAGAACTTGTAGCGGTTGCTTCCACCATCCTTATAGCTCATAATGAATCCGCGGTCCCAAGGGCACTCACGAGCCCCAGGGCTGCCCGCCAGGTAGAACGGCGCTGGATCTCCATCGTGGACACATCCAAGTAAATGAGCTATCTCGTGAGCAGCAACGTGAACACCGTCATAAGAACCAGCAAGATCTTCCCCCATTCCTGTGCGTTGCGGGGTACAAGCTCCGCCTACGTAGGCTAAACCGGCTACTCCAGGATGTAGGCCGTAGAAGGGGTCAATGGCAGCCATGTCACGGCCAGTCATTAGATAAGCCAAGTCAAAGTGGCTGGGGATACCTCCAGAATTGATGTATTGCGCAAATCCGGCAAGAGTCTGATCCGCAATTACATGGCCACCGTAACCCCTCATATAAGGTTCGTGCTCAACATTGTTGATTACGACACCAGCCAGTTTCAGTTGCATGTCCATGCCACTGACGGTTTTGTACCGTAGATTTACGGCGTTCATGAAGGTACCAATGTAACGAAGGAGTTCGGTTTTTGAGCTAAATTTAGCGTTGTGCGCGGTATCCGACACGATCATGACCTCGGGTCGAATTTTGTACGGAGCCGTTTGTAGACCATTACTTCTGAACGGTCCCCCGGAAGTAAATGGATAGAACACGGTTAAATTGAGGGGGAAAACAAAATCATGCTCATGAGACTGTCGGTCCTTATAAGGGAACACACGGTGGGGCATTACTCCATTTTTAGGATCACGTCCCGTCACCGGTACAATTCTCAATCCATTACTTAGCACACCGGTGAACTCGGTAAGATCACCCGGCTTCTTTGGTTTGTTCATTTGAAGGGAGGCTCCGTTTTTCGGGTCGAAGTAGATTCCGTCAGACAGATCCCCTGTATCCATATTCTCGTCAATAGGGTTTCCTAATGGATCGAATGTTCTGACGAGAATCTGGGGAGGAAACACATTGGTCGGATCGAGATTTAGGTTGAATGTGTCGGTAACCTGGAGCAATCGGCGGCCATCTGGAGTCAAGATAAACCGTGGATAGACAATAAGTTCATCCGTGAACGGCGGCAAACCTAGGTACTGAATAACAACGCTCGCTTGCGCGTCCACCCAACTTGAGTAGTCCACCATAACCACAAGAACTGCTAATGATACCCACATGTCTTCTGATTGTGTTTGCTTACGTTTGTATCAAGCAGCTCTAATCCTAGACTGTGAAATACTGATTACTCCAGAGATTTACGTTTACCACCACAAAGACCGTAAGAACGGTTTGAGGAAGCTTAGCTTTACTATCTAATTCCACTGAATTTCATTAAAAAAAAAACCTTTCTTCTAGCCCTTTATCTAGCGGATGCCCTCTGCTTCGCTATGGTTAAGCATAAGCGAAACAACAACACGTCTGGCAGTACAACTTGGCGCGTCCATTTTTAAGCCCGTTTCTGCGAGGGAGAGCTTGCTCACTCGTTTGCTGCTCCGTATGGACCAGCCTCTCGGGATGGCGTTGGAAACAGCCGCTGCAGCGGCTACCGGCGCCGTTGTTAAGACTGAAGTGACCACGGCATGGATGATTCGATTGAGAAACAAAACGCCAGTTCTCGGCTGCCTTTGACGCTTGCTGCTGCTGTGCAAAGGGCACCCAAATTGGGAGAAACTGTAGGAGAAGGACGACAAATATAAAACGTGTCATGTCCTTTCCTTAAGTGTTTTCCCCACTGGCGAGATGCACTAAAGGGAAATGTCGGCAATTTTGTGGGGTCCGCCAGTCTGCGAGTCCCATAAGCCGCAATTTGTCATAGTTATCGAATTTTAGTTAGGGTTAACTTAAAAAGTTATATTATTTTTGCACTTTCATTTTGGGCGTCTATTACCCCACCATTCGCATCATTGACAGAGAGCGGAGCTGCGTCGTTATCGAGGATTTTACAGGAAGATCGATAGACATAAATCGACGGAACTGTATTAATCAATAGTGACAATTCAACAATTTTCGATCCTCGAAATTACTGCTACTATTTTCGTTCTAATAGAATATATTATAGGTGGTACAGATCGTACTCTGCAGCTATTCCGCTCCGAACATTGGCAAACACACAAATACTGTAGAATATTACACTCGTGCATGTATATATTTTTTTGATCTAAGAAATTCTACTTAGTCGCTCATGATCGTAAAATCATTCACGCCCAGGTACTACGCCCGGTTCATCAGGGGGGGGGGGGGTACTACGCCCATGTGTGTTTGGGCGACGGAGGTTTGAGAGCTCTTGTTTCGGCTGTCTTCCGCCGTCGTTTGCGGAGGATTTGTTAGTTGACAATGGTCATGTTATTGGAAACAGCATCGAGGTTGTCGAGAAACACCGTTAGAGTGAGATCGTCATCATATAGCGTACCGTTCGACTCTGTAGTACGCACAATTATTACAGTACTCGAAGGGCACATTGCTTCAGCGAGGCACGAAAGATAATAAGCAGCGGTGCTCTGTTTGTGAGAGAGGCTTACGAACCTTCTTCGGTAACTAGCAATTAAGTAGCTACTCAGTTAGATGCATGGATCTATTCACACAGACGATGTAAGTCTACTGAGTTGCCGTGCATTGGTATGCCGTCGTGCTGCCAACATAGAGAAAGATACCGCCTGTTCGCGGTTCGTCTGTTTTCATTCATCGATATCTCTATATATCTAACCATTAGCAAGTCAGCAGCCTTCGCTTACTTTTTTGCTATTCTGGTGCAGAGCGATTCTTATAATATTTGATATATACGTGTTTTAGTGTGTGTATGTACGTGCGGGCTGCTTCTGGGGTAATATTGTTTAGCAATTATTTGTTCCCACAGAGCTACCTAAATCTGCCAACCGCATCAGCTCAGTGTCAGCATTGCCATCAGCTGTCAATAGGCGTGCATCAAGGAAACAATTAAACAGGAGAAATGGTAATTGGATGTTAGCGCGGATCAGCAGCTACTAGTACGTTTCGCACAGGCTCAGTTAACGTTGGGGGTAGTTAGTGACGCTTGTTGACCTCACGGCCGCTGCGGCATCGTCCAATTGTGTTTCCTTCTGCTTGACATAAAACGGCAGTCCGTGATCCATCTTCATAGCTTTCCAGCTCTGCTGTCAAGTGCATCGATTATACAGATCCTATAACAGCAGTAATACTGATAACTCGTACATGTGCCAATGCTAGTCGGTGTCACGGTGATCGCTTTGAGGAACCGATTCCTGCCGGGTTTCCTGGACACTGCAGATGTAGCCGCAGCGCCAGTGACGGGTTCGCGCCTATTCAAACGATTGGGGATAGCGCGTATTGTGCAATAGCCACAACTTGCGAAGAGTTAGCAGATATGCTGAGATAGTTGTTATTATTCATTGTTGCACTGATTGGACGGCGGGAATATTGGCTGGAGAAAAAGTCTTCTGAACGTTTTGGCGATTTGCCGACAGCTTTGCGGTGACAGAGGCGGCGGCCGTGGTAGCGGCAACAGCTTTAGCCGTCGGTTTGTGGCGTGGTAACTCAGCGACGTGTCCACTTAGTACGCGCCCTGTTGTTGCCCGTTGAGCCGCCACCGACTGTTCTCTGCGTCTCCATTCTTGACAGTTGTCGATTATCGTTGGTCGCGATATAAAGTTTTAAACGTGTTTACGAGGCTTCTGTTGGTTTAAATGTGTTCGTAGTGCTAGTCGAGGCGAAGTATTTTTTGCGAAAAGCCTATTTCCGGGTTAGGTAAAACTAGAAAAGGAAGCAACAAAGTGGAATTCAGTTATTCAAGAACTTACTCAATATCGTGCTATTACGAAAAACGCTACTGTTGTTAAAATTAAAAAAAAAAAAATCAAAATGCCATTTGCCCCCTTTGGTGAGTGTTGTCGCTGTGTCAGCCCATGACGATACCTACCGGGTCGTTACTCATCAGATATGCGCATAAATACTAGTCAATTTGCGAATAGAACTTGATGAATCCATCAGAAGCTGTAGTTGACTAGCGTGTCTGATTATGGCCGAGGTAATTAAGACGCGCTGGGTCAGCAAATCCTGGAAAACGCGCGATCTTTTAGCGTAACACGACAACATCTCCTTCGTTACCTGTTTCACCTGTAATGCAATGCTGGCTCGTTAGATTGTCTAGGCGACATGATGTATGATAAAATACAGATTCTGTTTGCAAATACGTGTATATTATACACTTTTTCCTTTGAGCTGATGCTGAAGTTAATGTATTGGCTGTTGTATTCAATTGGGTTCACCTTGAGTGGGATTTTCTGTTTGGCAGTTGGCATAGGTTGCAGATCAAAAAGCTTTCGCAGCGTTATTGTAGCGCCCCCGGCGCTAACAGTCCCGTTCTGTTGTCTATTTCTGCTCTAGTCTGGATGATAAATATAACACATTTTGTGACCACCATACACTTGCCTGGCCACAAACGTCGGCTAATCGATAAGTTATGGGACATTGTTTGAGGCTTGCAAGAATCCTTTGCGTCCACCCACTCATACACATACATACATACATACATACATACATTAATCATAAAAATAGTATCTAATCATATATACATATATATCTGCTGTTGCAAGCTACTTTGGAGACGGCAAGTAGTTACTTGTTGGCACTTGTTCGGAGGGTTTCGTCGGGGGGTGGGCTCATCAGCGCAAAACAGCAATCATACCAACGTATCCTCCCTTCTGCGATTATTCCATGGGCTGATATACGGTCATTAAGAACAATTTTACAGCGAAAGCTGCTGGCCGAGTTGAAAAACTAGTTTTTTTTTTTTTTTTTTTCTACCTATGCCATTATCAGTGCCAGCGTGGTATATGCTTAATGGACGATTACGACAACTGAGGGGCCAGACGAAACAATCGCCTTTACTAACGTACCAAGAACGAACAAAATATGCCTATTATATTGATTCAAAGTCTATGAACTCCTCCACGAGGAGACCGTCACGACGTCGGCAGATCATTCACAGTTGACTAGAACGGCTTCTGGTCAAATTCATAGAATCGAACGAGTGATCGCTGCCTATCAGTTAATAAGTGGCTTATAAATGTCATAATTATGTAAATAATAAGGTAACATAATAAGGTATCGGCAGCTTAGACGGATCGTGCAAAATATATAGGTGGCAAGGATTCGATAAGTAAGCTCAGAAATTATGGAAAAATTCATCTCTCGTTAAAGATCGAGCCTGAACTAACTTTCCGGAAAAATGTTCTATTAATTATAATTTTTACAATTGAAATTTAATTACGATATCTTTATATACCAGTCTAACTAGTTAATGTCTATCGTCGATATTTAAATAGAAAAACAATCGAAGGTGCAAACATTAAGTTATTTGCTGCTGGAAAACACTGCTGTGTTTCTGCTCAGTACTCGTTTGACATCTTAGCACGCATTAGTTACTGCCTCCAGATGTACACCTGTTGGCATTATATTAATTCAATGGAGTGTTTTGTTGTTTTCTTCAGTAGTAACTTCCCGTCTTGGCGTCGTAACCTGTATGCATTGCAGATGAGTTCCATACAGAAGAAGTTCCTTGTTCGGTTAGCTCGCCAGGAGGACAAGCAGGCTCTAGAAGAACTTGTCGGACGGACTTTGCATTCCCCTCTAAACGACACACTCATAGCTATGGAATTTGAGAGAGGACCCATACTTGGAGCCTTATCCTATTCGAAGTAACAGTCAAATTTCACTTGCTTATGTTTTATATTATCTTCTGTAATAGACAAAATATATTTTTCGTGCTTTTCATTGTTCGTCCGATGTATGTTTTCAGAATTTACTCTACATGGGAAGGACGGTCCATTGGCCTGAACAGCCTGCAAGTTAAGGACGAGGCTTGTCGGGTTCCACTGCTCAACGAGCTAACAAAGGTTTGCTTCCTGTAAAATTAAAACCCATTCAACCTACTTAATCTAAAATCATTTTACTGAACCTGCAAAGCAAGCAATGCAAGTTCTGTTTGGATCTGCTACTCTATTTAGTAATATCGAACCAAATGACGGAATTGGACGAAGAACGTTAGTAACTTCTCATTAAATTTTAGATGAGTGTTTCCTTGGGGTGCAGTCGCATTGATTGCCAGACTGCTGATGACTGTCTCATATCGACACTAACCACTCAAAACGTCCGTGATCTAACCGAAGAAGAGAAGTGGCATTGCTGGGAGCTCGATAACCTTGCAAAATTCGTCACGACAGACGCCCCTGCCAAATAACGAGTATACCCTTATCTACTAAATAACTAACTGCCCCAGTAGGTCGTCCGTAGGAGTCTACAGCTTGGGCATCTGAAAATCAATTACGGATCTGCGACGATCAGAAAGCACCGTGTTCGTATCAGTCATTGGCGGGCTTCGACACCTAGTACCAAATCTAATCATGTACTGATATAACGTCTCTTTCTAGAGATACTTCGTCATCACAGAGACACATTATTATACGATTCTCAGTGTGTTTTAAGCCGTCTCGCTCATGTATGAGTATTCCAGCTTTTAGGTACTATTTACTTACAAATTAATTACGATACGCGATATTTACGGAGGTAGGCTCTAGGATGTGTGTGATACTACCTAAGTATCCCGTTATCGTTTTGCGTTCATCAAGCACGTATTTTGCTTTCCTTTGAAAGTTTCCCGCTTATAGGACTTCATGGTTGAAGTTAAACTCAGGTTAATTTCTGATAACGAGTCAAGTGTCTGGTATTAATTTTCGTTGGCGACATTTCGAGGGTGACAATCGTTGTTATTCCTAACGCAAGCGGCACTGTTTACGGATGCACATATGTGCATTCATAGTCGCTGACCGAAGAGGACTTAAAATACTCTGAAATGTACTTATACCATTGTAACAAAAACTTGAAAAAAGCTATGGACCCGATTTTCGTTTAAACTGATGAAGTTCATCGAGAAACCGATGTCTGGCCGAAGTTTGTTCTCGTTGTGTCCACGATGCTTAACGTTTTAACTGTTATCCATTGTGTTTCAATAAAGTCTTTTGTAGCAATTATCTATTGTAACCCACAGTATTAGAATAGGCTACTAGAATTTTTATATGAGATCCATAGCATTAATTCGACTGACAGAAAGCACATTTTGAACATGATTCCAAATTGTTTAATACACCCTGTAGAAAAAAACGGTGAATTATATACGATTATTTGCGCGACCTCGTAGTTCCTACATCGAGGTCTCTAGAGTATCATTGGTTACTCCTACTGGTAATCTGTTAGCTGTCGAGTAATCGATCAAATTTAGTTTGAAGCTCCTGTGTCTACTCGATCATTGAATTGGCATTATTATTTATTGTCACTCTATTCCCAAACGGCTTTTTTTTTCGGCGGATGTGTCGAGAGTATCCCAGTGCCTATCGGCTTCGGTTTTTTCAAGAAATTGGCTACTTTGGCCAGCAGCTTCTTTTGAACCGTGGACGAGGGGCAGCGGCACGCCTACAGCAGAGCTGACTGGGCGGCTCAATCAATGGTTTAGCACGTTTAAAAGTAGATCACTCTTGTAGTTCATGTCACGGCTAGGATTTTAAGCCGTGCGTAAAGCAAACAACACATCGGTGTTAGTTATGACCTGAAGCTAGAGAGGATTTAATAATGAACATGTCTTTCCGACTTTTTTCTGGATAGTGGTTACCGTTAAATTATATGTACTTAAGCAGATACGAATGCCAGCGTTGTGTTCGATTCACATAAAACAGTTAGAACGGTTCTGAGCTATAGATCGGGCCCAAACAAAAAACATGGTTATTGTGTCGTGCGAGCTTTTCCTAGGATCTATTCAACGCATCGTAACTTCTGACCAACTTAAAATCATCTACATGTGCATCTGTATATAGCGCGACTCGAATTCTACCCTGTTTACCCCCTACGATCTCCGGGGACGCCTTTTTCTGGCGCTATTCATTAGTGATTTTTCAAAAATCCACTGTTCCCTCATTTGTTCGAACGGGAACATCAGCAAATTGTTCCTTCTCAGTTTGGATTGCTTTCATGGCCCGCTCTTGCGAACCAATACGTTCAAATGCACCGGGAGAAAAACGACGCCATTTCTAACAAGTAAGAGCGATTCCGCTAAAAAGCGCCGAGTATAATAAATTGATCAGTGATAATTATTCGACACTACCTCTGAAATCATTTGATAGTTACTGAAGGGCAAATACTCGCCGGAAGTTGGCCTTCCATCGACATTGGAACGCTCTCGGAATCTAACGGATAGCCAAGGTGGCCTAGGCTACGATCTTACGTTCGGAGCTTTCGGCCGCTAACTCTATTTCAGTTGTTCCACCGTCAGTTAGAACTAAGGCTACCTGATGAAACGAGGAATAATCACAGAGGCGTTGTTAACCGAGAAATTGATTCATATCATAAATAGAATAACATAGGGTATTACAAAGAACGCTTACGGCTTGTATTTTTACGTTTCTTGCTATGATAACTTATTTATGAAAAATAGAAATTCTCATTGTAACTGGCAGCACCAGCTACTAATCCTCGTCAATGCCAGCAAATCTTGGACAGCCTTGCAGATAGCATCTGTATGCTATAAGCCGACTGGGGATGACCTCGACTGAGCTCACTACGATAAACACACTGAACTTAGTACGCATAGTGATTATGTTAAAAATTGTAATGTTTGACGAGGCTTCAATTGGGTTACAGTCAGATACTCTCTTTTGACAGCAACGGTTGAGCGGTTGGGTCAAGTTGCTTTCGAACCCACTGTACAGGATGTTCTTTCTATTTACGTAAACGCGTAAACAGCGGTTGTGAATTAGTCATGGTACGTCTTTCACAGATCCTGCACACCTGCACTATTTAAATATGAATAATGCAGATGTTTAGAGTGCTGTTTCAAGTCTTCCGAAACTCTTCAGCGTACGAGGCATCGAATAAAATCTGAGCTAGTATCTAGGCATCATCAGGCAAGACCATTTCTTTCTTCCAGATCCAGCCTTTGGGAAGAAATAGTCCCGAGCTATGCACTTACAAGAAAACGAGATCATGAATAGAACAGAAGTTGTTCGAGATCTGAAGGATGTTTTTCTGTCTACGGCGCTGAATCGTCGTTGTCAATGTTGACGTAAATACTAATTTCATGCGACAGTTAATACTAGCCTGGCTAGAGCGGTCGAATGGTTTTTGTTTATCTTGTCTTTCATCAAGAGGAAAATTATAGGTCTGTTAAAACATATGGACAGATTGAATTGCAAGAATACTCAGCTCACAAATTGAGCTTTTCTCGATTCATCCAAGAAAGAACTGGCTTGAGTGCTCAGTGGATACGACCTTACGAAGTGCACAGAATATTGCTTTTTTTTAAATAATCATCATATCATTTAACGAGAGTCTAGTGATCTATCTGCTATTTTATTACTTCCTTCCAAAAAAGTCCGGAATATACTTATAATAATTCAAACAATAACCGATTCCGCAAATAAATTGTTGAAAAAAAAAGTGCCGACTTTCCTCGAGTGATCCCCTAGAGTTGGTAGGAAACAGCACTTCTTTATAGCAAGATAGCTTCTTTATAATCAAACCCGTAATATTTACTTCGCCGTTTGCCATATAAGTCAAACATTACAACAGTAGTACAATGGTGAACTGCTAAACCTTATTACTACTCGTCATTGACTAGAGGCTTCATGTTAAGCTTTACATGAGACCGAACCAAATACGTACACCATGGCTCACAATGGTCTTCTCGTGCAACAAAAAACAATACGTTTCATGTGACGCTATTGAACCTCAACACGTCTCCAGCACTTCCGCTCTAATAGCTTACAAAAAAAAACCTGTGGCCTTTACGTCGAAACGGTATTACACCATAGCGTACTTTCCTATCAAAAACTGCATCGTGTTTCAACGTGAATAATCGATGAAATAAGAATTTGTTTATATTGTGTAAACAATTATACGCATATGGCTTATGATGGCCTAAATCACTATATATATATATATATATATATATTTGCGAACATCAGGTGACGCTTCTTTGTCCTCGATCATGTTTATCAGAGAAGTTTAGCTTCATGCGTTAACTACCTTCGTCGCCCAGTAGCCTAAAACTGGATAAAAAAAAAAACTTACTTATTATATGGAAAAAGAGACCGGTACGAATCGGTAAGTTTATTGTCAGCAAATATTCAAAGATGTAAATTTCTCCTTAGTTTTAGAAAGAGAAAATATATAATACATGGAAACACATTGGAAGCTTAAATAATATAGATACGTTTTACTTGACCATAGGCTGTGAGGGTTTCGTGTCAGCCCGACACTTGAATTAAAGTATAGATATGCCTATCGAACTGTACTGTTGGAGAAGAAATAAAAAACATGTATTTTTTCTTCATCAGCTGAATTGACGTTTTCTTCATTACTTTTTTTATGTTCCTGGCCAAAGGGCCTACGTATTCACTAGTTCCAGAATGAGACTTGTCACTATCAGTTACTCGGTAATGACAGCTGCCCTCCATCGATCCGCTATGACACATTTGCTGCCAGACAGACTTATTAATCCTACTTCACTTAATCACACATATTGTGCCGTGTATGTCAAGGGCAAGAATTGAGCCTTTTTTTTTGACCAAGCGGCTTAGTCGTGCTGTCGCCTTTGAGCTTCTCGTAATAACGTTAACATTTCCGTCATAGTCTTCTTCTAGTCACAGCGTCTTCGCCTAATCGGCGCTATTAAATTGCGTTTAGGTAAAGATTACGTGTTCAGTCAACCTCGATCGACGATGGAGCACAAGTGCATATGACCAGTGTACAAAATAATAATAAACGAGTACAAAGCAACCCACTTCTTAAAAAGTTTAATTCCAATTCCTTTGAATGTGAAACGATGTTGTAATTGTACGTGATCCGTGTACTAAGTTTTTTTCGTTCAGAAGTTGCTTACTTACTACTAAACGTTTATTATTATTACGACTGCCATTACCTCTTTTAAAGGTAGTCAGCAGCAGTTTACTGAACCATAGATACCCTGTTAAAATAAAAAAAAAACAAGTGTTATATGTAATTTTGTGAATCCGTCGTAATTCCACTATGATCGCGATCGTATATTGATCGAACTTAACTTATTGTACTAATCTTCCTGTTACGAACTGGTATCTTGTACAACAAACTCACACTACGCAGCGCTAACCACGAACGTACAACAACGGTTAAAACTCGAAAACATAACGTGGCTGCAGTGGCCACCTGCATTACTACGCAAAAAAGGACAATCAATCTGGGATGAAATGGTATTGACCGTTCAAACTATTTCGATTTATATGGCGCGTCAGCTAGCATAGATTTATGTACTACTTATCCGCGTGTGAAACCATCGTCTAAGAAGCGATAGCCTATCTGAGAAAAAAATCAGACCAAAAAATACCGAATTTGATTAGTTACGCCGCGACAGCAGCTCTACAAATTGGAAGTATCAATTTGAGAAGTTTCCGTATGTGTCTGCTCGGTTTCTTTGCGTTTTTCGTCCTTTAGTGCACGACGAGTTCCAACAATGGCCCAAGTGTTCGATCTCGTCACGAATATTTTGTTTTTACCAAAGCCTGCTCTAATTTTCTGGTGGACAATTCATCTCGAGCAATAGGATTTCTGCAATTAATTTAGAGACTATGCTGATCATTGAATAGGTATTTATCCTACTACCGTTTCGGAAACACATCGATCTGGCCCGGGCCACTTTTTACACTTTTGTTGTTTCCTTTTTTTCATTTTGTCTCTTTACCCTATGGAACTGTTTTTATTTCACCTCACTCTATCCACAGAGATTTTTACGTGTTATTATTAACCCCACAATCATATACAACCACTGATCGCCCTCCATTACGCCCGTATTCTATTCGTCTTGTAGGTTCCAAAATTCTCGCCCAAGAGGACGAGAAAAATCCCTTGAAGCAACGTACCCTGTATATCCTCTTGTCGCCTTTCTAAAATACCCTCGTTACGTTAACGATATGCTTACCGTACAATATCCACAGCATTGTAACTGGAAGTAGTTATTCCATTGTTAGTTATATTATTGCTAGCTAGAAATTTTTCACGATCAACATAAAAACCTACACAGTAACAAATATCTGCGTTGCCACTGATGGCTCGTAAAGCGAATCTGCCTACCGATATGTCAATATACAAAGCGCGGTGTATGTCACATCTTTTCGAAATTATTCTTCCATAGGAATAAAATAACTTGAAAATAAATTCAAAAATTAACTGTTGGTAAGTCCGTCTGAGTTTGAACATACATTAATAAAAATCCATATTTAGAGATATCCCAATCTTATGGACTGGCGTCAGCCGAATTTTATATTAGTGTTTATCTAATAGGCATAAATACTTACGTATCAGCTATTGAGAACTGCGTACGCACCACTTGGCGCGCTGAAAACCAATTCTGAACTAGCCTATTCTGGAAAAAAGGTCGAAATTCTTTCGTCACATGATGGACCTAATCAGTTACTTATTGGCTCGTAGCGTTGTTTATTGCGTCAACACCGTTCACTACGCACGACCAACCCCTTATATATATATATATATATATATATATATAGCCTCAGCAAAGTCTTCCCGCTCAAATGAACTCTACACTTCATTTATTACTGTTTACCTGCTTCAAACATATAGATCATTATAGAGTCGTTGGTAGAATTTACTTTTGCATCAATTTTGTGTATATTCATTAGACCCCACTTACATACGACGTACCGCTTTAGACTGAATAAACAAGACCACGATTCTTGCATAAATCCCTGCATCTAAATCATCGATTTACAACAGGGAACTGTTTTTAAAATATGAACTACTGACCATAAGGATACATACAAAGGCACACGCTCTTTCTCCTCCTCAAACGACTAAAAATTTACTCTATTATACACGCTCAAAGCGCACGCCATAAGGTGTCACGTCCTCTCGTATCTATTTTTTGGTAGCGTCTCAATGTCAGCGAGCTGTTAAACTGGTCACGCGACACTCACCTAAAAACCATTTAACACATTTCTACGAATACGCTAGCGGCGCAGTTACTCCATCACGAGCAAGGTTGATGGAAAAGACGCTAGACGCTATTACTATGGATGTTCATAGCTTGTTAACGTATCTCACGGATACTAAATTCTCCCCATAATGGTCCTCTGGACCCTGTCCAGTCATATTTTAGAAGCCCTGGTACTTCTCAACGCTGGCACAACTCGTTGTTGTTACCGTGGCAACGGTGGGGTGTGTCCGAACGTTTACCAGATGGAGTCTCATTACGTTTGCTGATTTTATATATCATGACTTCGACACGCTCGTTCAGCCATCACAGTTACTGCGGCTATTGCGTGACAAGCTAGTTCGTCATCGTAGGCGCTTGGCAATACTTTGACGGATTTCATTAAACACCGAATGTCGAAGTACCTGCGAAACGAAAGCGGGAACATATGGAATTTCATATGATAACAGAAGATAGAGTTTAGAGATGTGAAGTCTTGGGTCTACTATTCAAAGGTGTATTAGTATTATAGCCTGAAGGTGCTAGAATTAACAATGCATTGGCATCTGGGACTGTATGGCTAAAAATCGCATTAAAGGAAAAATTTCTCTGGAACGAGAAACTTACTTCGCGAGCACTTGGCCTCGTGTTTGGATCCGCAGCCAGCATAGCTCGAACGAGCTGATATTCATCACGAAACTGCTTTTTGAAGCCCTGCAATTCAATTCACAAACCGCTAAGAAGGTCGTTTATACAGTAAACGTAAACTTCTCAGTGTACGATATATATATATAGTTAACATTTATTTTCTACAACATGCGTATACATATGCATAACTAGGTTTACATCTTCACTGAAAATATATAGGGAAGCTAGGATTTCTGTCCAATGTCCGTAAAAAGCCATAAAATGATGCGAAAGTTTAATATCTTATTCTACTACTACGATTCCCTTGGAAAGAGATCTTACCTTCGGAAAGCGGAGCTGCTTAACCTTGCTCAAAGTACAAACGCGCTCCATTTGAGTGGGTAATGACCACAATAATTCGAAAAGTATCAGACCCAAAGCAAAGATATCGATCTTCTGGTTGTATTTACTACCCATAACTTGTTCATGACTCATATACAGTTGAGTGCCGACCTTATCTGTCAACTGAACGTCAAGGGGCATACGACCAGTTTCGAGCGAGTTGCGCTGTTGGTCGCCCTGAGCTCCCGGAGTACCTGCCGGAATCGAAGTGATGGTAAGTCTGCCTTCGGTCTCTGTTACAAGACCGAAGTCGCCAACCTGAAAAGAAGAAGAAAATAAAATGTAATTGAAAAAAGCAATACTCGAATGAACCTGCTTTTTTGCATGGCATACTTTAGCGATGTAGACTGCTAGATAACATACGTGACCCTAAACTTCCGGTTATTTGAAATTAGAGATTGATTTGTTTTGAATCCACACGATCATGCTGTACATTTAACTTTTAAAAAGACCGCGGATTATGTTATCCATTGATTAGCATTACCTTAACGACATCCCCTGTCGTGGAGAAGAATATGTTTGAGGGTTTGAGATCACGGTGTATCAGGCCGCTATCGTGAATGTAGTCTACAGCACAACTGATTTGGTAGAAGATCTCCAAAACCTGCAAAAAAATACATCTTCTCAGATGAGCACGTTGCCACCTCAATATCACCTATTGTCGTGGCATTTAATAATAGGGAGAGACAATGAAGCTCACATTCATGTGACAATAGTTCACAATAAGCGTATTTTATTTTTTGAGGGACTTTATCAGCAGTAAATGTATTGTCTTATGAGAAAAAATACGGCTAGGACACTGAATACCTTGTCGTGTCCACGCTCATCTAATGTTTTCTTTTGAGCGAGCCAGTCCTTAAGTGATTCTTTCTTACATAGCTCGATCTGAATGTAGAGGTAAATCTGTTCTCGGGACTTTTCCCCAAGCGCTTCGACGAATTTTCCAGCAGAAACGGGAAGCGAATCTCGCCGTTCGCGTGTCTGCAGTGGCGCACGTGTTGAAAAGGTGTAAAAAATGTTAATTCAACAAATAATCTAACGTTAAGGTGCCCTTTGGTTTATAATCCTTTGTATACATCACATAATATCTTCGTTCGCATAGTAATTTTATGCTTAGCGATGATTCTTAGCAAGCGGATACAATGAAAATCTTCCCGCAACACAAGACAACATAGATTATGTATGTAGTTTACGGACTTTTTTCCTTTTACTATTACGATTTCGCTAATGGCAGCTGATTTTTACGAACCGCCATTTTCTTTTCAGTGTTATTCTTACTGCACCGAAAAACGTTGCCCCTGGGACTATTTTCCTTCTCCTCATCAGATGTCTCGTGGGAATAGTGTTCATCATCTTCAGTTTTACTTTTCCGTGGGTTTGTTACTACCACGTCGGACCTGAGAGGTATAACAGTTAAACAGATCTGGGCTTAAAAAACATCGTACTATAAGACGATTTCGGGATAATACTAACAAAAAATTAATGAGAACCTTAAACACCCATATTATATACATAGAATGCGCTATTATTAATCTCTAGCAGTTACACCCATGCCATAGTATCTACAGGAACACGTCACTTTAGCGTATATATATCCTAAGTTAAGCCTTCTTTAAATGGACAACTATCACCTTTTAATCACGTTGAACAGAAAGCAGCAATGCTCTCTAACGGGTATCGTTTTATCACACAGTTCAATAAATCTCAGTAAGGAATTTTCTCTTGTAGAAAGAAGGTCGTTCAATCTAAACATATTGTACTAATATGCGACTTTGTTATGCGCTCACAGTAACATGCTACCTTGTCGCAGACGTTTTGTCGTCGGACGCGAACACAATGGAGTCGTCGACAGTCGACATGAAGTTTTTACGGTCCATCTCGTCAGCACCTCGATCCAGTGAGGAATCGTTCTCATCGTCGTGCGATTCTTCTCCGGCCCAACTGCCGCCCCCGTCGGCCCAGCTGCCGCTATAGCTATGGCCCCCCTGGGTCGAATTAACGTTATCCTCATGTCCTAGTCGTGACCCTTGCCACGCGTCTGGATTGAAGTCGAACGGTCGAAGAGGGTTGAAGCTGTCGATTCGTTTTCGTAAGCCATCAGCGTCACCGCCATTTTGATAGCGCTGTTCCGTGGCACTTGCCAGTTCAGTCGACCTACTGGCAGTAGTTGGTCCTAAGGAATGATTGAAGAACAGCAGGAAACTCTCAGACCAATTCATATTTCAGATACGTTACGTAAAGCCCATACATGGTCGTCATATGATACATATTTTCTATAAAATATGTCACAGGCTTAATGCCAACGTGATCTACTGAAGCTATTATCGGACCTATACGCATGCTGAAAGCTTAATGGTGAAGCTTAAAAAATTTATATTTGAATATGATCTCACCTGTATCTGCCGGAGTAATTTCAGTTCCGATCGACAGCGTATTGGTCTTGCAATCTAGTAAAGTAGCCTTCCAAAACGCATCCATTTCCTGTTGCCAACCTGGTGGTGGCGTTTCTAGCCAGGCATTGTAGTACCTATAAGCAATGTGCCCCAAAGGACGTGTGACGGTTGTTAAACGCTTTGATCGATATATATTGAATTTTAAGGCATTCGATAGGATCACCTGCTCGATCTATTACTACAGAGACTTTGCTAAGGTAATAGAATACAGATAATTCACCGAACAATGTGCTGATGATCCAATTTAGCAAGGGCTTTCACCTCCCGTAGCACTTTTTCGCGAGCCCCTTTTCTCGCTGGCAGACGAATACGTTTGACAGCATAGGAACAGTCATCGATCTTATTGCGACTCTCGAATACAATGCCGAAGCCACCCTAGTTCAAAAGGAAAACACACAGCATCGGGATTTATCCTGGGAACCATGAAAGTGTCGGGCCAAATTTTCATCGACTAGTCGATAGAAACTTTTCTAAACATTGTAACTTACCAAACGTTAAAAACCATACAACCTAACGTATTCGCCCAATGAGTTTGGCTTTCGCACGAAGACAATAAAAACGTATTCATTCAAAAATCAATAATCCACTTAACTATTCGTTGAGAAACGGTATCCGAGTGAAAAATATTTACTCTCAAACAGCTCTATCCACTAACCTTTCCTAGGCAACGAACGGGCACAAAATCAGTAGCATATCGCGAGACGTAATTGGAAGTAACGGTACTTGATGATTCACTAGACTCTGACCCCTTAGAGTCCACGGAAGATTCTACGCTTAGCGTTTGCCCATCGTCGGAAGGTGTCACCGTCTAAGAGCAAAAAAGTATCTGTATAGGTCAGCAAGCATGACACACGACATACTTAAATCTTTTCCAGATTTACTGGGGTACTCCTGATCAGTTGTGAAAGCGTCCAGCATAAAGCAATAATGTCACAAACCATCGTACCTTGGACGTCGAACCTGTAGCAGTCGACGGGGTCACTGTAGATCTTTCCGCATTGATTTCAGCTGAGTCAAACAATGAATGGGTCAGTTGAGGCGACGCCTTGGAAATTGGCTGCCCGTTACGACTGAACACGTATGGCAGAATTTGGGTTAAGAGGAGGTTCACGGCAACAGAGAGCATAACTGAGATTATGCCTATCTCTTTCCAATAGTTTCTAAAGCAAAAGAAAAGAAATCCATGCAGAACAACGATATTATAATGTGCGTGTCCTAATATCATGGACTGCGCTTTTCCTAGTCAGGCTCCTATCCGTCAAACAAGTTTAGCTACGGCATTTTGATCAAGAAATTTATGTGACAGTTCAGATATCGGTCGGTGTCACGAGCGTTAGTGAAGCGTCTACATTCGATTTGTTCTCTATGAATATTTTTTGGATGCTTCTCGTTATTAAATATGCTGGTGTATTTATTGCAGTTCCTATCACATACTCTTTATTGGTGTGGGCTCTAAATTAACATAGAATCCCGAATGCTACCAACTTTCACTATAACTTACCCGATAGAATTGACGACATACACGATCGGCGCGTCGTCCTGATTCTCATCAGGCCACTCGTCGTTATCGCTATGCCTCTGTTCTCTAACATCGTCATTTCGATCAGTATGAGCCTCGACGACGCTTGGCAAGAGAACTGGCTTCTTACAGTCGCCGTCTCGTTCCTCCTAAAATAATAGCACAAGAAACAATCACTAAATTATTGCAGCAAGTGTTAAATATACGCATCTGTAAACCTACTGAAGGTAAGTTTTTCCGAAACGAAGGACACATCATACCGTTATCCTAGTCTCACAGTTGCTATAAACACATTGAATATACAGCCAAAAACGACAATAATAAAAACTTGTACAAATAATGCCTTCACGCGACATACTCTTCGCCTAGATACCTCGAAGATCTAGACTTAATCTGTTATTGCCTCTTTTTGCATATTAAAGATAGACTGCATTTTAATTCTACCGTTCAGCGATCCGAATCTAATAAGTGTAGCTCACACAAGAGAAGAATCGTTTCCTTTGACATCTCTGAATGCGGTTAGGCATAGTTCCAAGAGTCTTTCAGGCTGGGGGCTCACTACGATCCCTCTGGAGGGTAAGAATAGAATAAAAGTATCCTTTTCGTCTTTACTGTTGCTAGGATTTTTAATCATCGAGGGCATGCATGTCTACGTCCAGTCTCCAACCTGGGCTATCTCAATGTTCCTGCATCAATTACTTGGCAAACACGTTACCAGTCCGTTATTGCGTGTATCCGCCAGCTAAAATAAACCAACCTGCATGAAATAGTAACCCGTGTCGGAATCAATACGCTCGAATATCTCCCAAGGACTGAACGGCACCAGCGCCGTCTGCGCGTTGATCACCTGCTCTTCATCGTCAATCAGTACTGAAACTTCGGGTTGGTTGATGGTAAGATCCGCGCCCCCAGCGCCTGGCTGTCATTTATGCGCCGCAAACGAATCATACATAATAATATTATGAGCTTTATTAGGATATTGTTTGCTTTGGTCTTCCTTCTTTACCTATATATCAAGATGCATCTAATAGAAGTTACCCTCGCTTTCTTCAAATAATGGACAATTAGTTGAGGTGAACAAAGCACCATATCAATGATTTTCTATTTATTTCACGGCATGTTTCTTCGACCCGGGTTGGCTAGTTCGTCAGTGGCTGCGTTATAGCTGAATAATCTGTAAGGGCAATTATTTAGCATATTGGACTATTAATAGCAAATAAATTTACGAACGCATACTACGAACACGAAATTTCTATAGGTAAGTATAATAATATAAATCAGTATTTAGGTTAGCAGTACTAGCTTAGATCCTAGCGCGATATAGCTTCTGACTAATTACGATCATGATGAATCTGTTTGTACTTACGTTATAGTCAATCATCGGTCTATTTTCGCCCGCTATTGCGCCGAACGCGTGTTGCTGATTGTACCATTGATTGGTAAGTAATTGGGTCTTGATATATCGAGGATTTTGTTGAAGGTACAGCTGCTGTTGATAGACGCCAACGTAGAAAATTGGCTGTGGTCCGTGTTCCATTCCAATTAAACGGTCAGGCTCAAACAGGTCCACCTGGGGAAACCGCCGAGTCGTTTGTTTGTATGAAGGAAGTTGGAAAAATATGGCCTGTTCTTTTCTTATCGGTATTCCGTTGAAGGTATGGAGGCGTTCGCAGATAAAATACCGAGAAAAATTTAAACCTTTATGAATAGCAAATAGCTTTAGTAATTTCGCAATAGCTGCTCTGAAAACTCTGTCTTTGGATTAATGAATAAATTCACTTAAAAAATGAATGCGCTTCTCGGGCAGCGCCATTTGAGTGGAATTCTTAAAAAAAAAAAAGAGCAAAAAATAGGCCTGGAGCTACGAGAAAAAGATTCTGGAACATCGGTTTCTTAGGTTGTTTCTGCTTCCTATTGAAGTAATTAACCGCTCGTAAGCCTATAATATCGTTAATTACTAAAATATTAATAACAGCTCTGCTGTCGGTCGAAACGAAAAAAACTAATTGCATTTGTCGCATATTCGTTTGAATAGCTAGCTAGCTTTAATAACATAAGAACAAAGCTAGCATTGAATACAAAAGATGAACCTCTTCAAGGCCGTCTACCGACAACTGCCAGGCGCCGACGATTGGACTGCCAAGCTGTAAGGTCCAGTTACTTGTTTCATGAGTCCCGGTTATCCTTCCGGTACTCGTTTCAACACGGAGACCCTAGAAAGGTACCAAGAACCGTTTACCATAATAACGATGTGTAGTTAGTAAAAAAAAAAAAAAGAAAAAGGAAAGGAAGAAAAAGAAAGAAAGGAAATTTATTTAGAGATAAATTATCTTGGGCAGCGCAAATGATCGATTGTCATATAATAAAGAGATCCTTCGATCCACTTCCCGTATTCTTAAAACACTTGAGATAAAATGAATTTGTGCCTACCTAGATTACGCATGATTAAATTCATATTTGCTAACGCTAACTATTTAAAGTTAAATTTGCAACTGGACATATAAGTTAATATAAACTTGTACCGTTTCATAGTAGGGTCCATTATCGGAATCCTCCCGTCCTGGAAATAGCATATCCATTTGTTAGGTTTAAACTAGCGACTTGCTAATGGAGTGCTACTTCTCTTGTTAATAAAAAAAATATTTTTCATGTAAGTTTCAGCTAGCATCCATAGGTGCAAATAGGTAACATAGTCGGGACCCGAATGTTTACGGCGAGCATTCTTGATCATTAAGCTTCGCCGCTTCGGCGTTGTTTCACGCAGCGTAATAGATAATTTGGTGTATTTAAACCTTTAACTTTCGTCAGAGACCTAGGTTTGATTAAACTAACAGTAGTTAACCTATTTTACTTTTTTAATTTACCAAAAGTGACCCGACGCTTGGGTTTATGCTGAGCGTTACATCCGACTGTGTCATCCTCAAGAAGCCGAAGCGAGTTTTCCCCAACGGAGAAATACCATTCTTCTTTTCCTGAGTGTGGTTCGATTGCTCGAACCGTCTGTGTATTACGGCGAACTATCAGGACTGCGCCTGCACTCTGGTTCGATGCACCGCTAAGTTTGTCCTTGGACACACCGCTTGCATTTGCTGCGTAGGATACAATAAATAGAGGAACAATAATTAGGACATGTTCATCCTTTGTACAGATTAGCTCCGACTGTTGATAATTTTTCGCTAATGAAAACGTTTTAAATTCTATATGCTTAGAAATAATTTTGGCACGAAAAATCCTTATATCATAGAAAACTCTAAACCCCTGTTAAAAGAACAAGCAATTGTACAAAGGCCTTAAGACTGAATTATGTGCACTTTTAAATCAGTCAACAATCTACTAATGTTTTGTATGTAACATAAATGTCTTGTAATCATTTACGCTGCAACGATGGATATCCTGTCAATGGCATTGAATATCTTGAAATCTAGGCTAAATACTGCCTATAGCCTTGCGTTTAATAGTCCTTTGGAGGAACAAATCCGTCCTAGAGTTCTTAATAAGAAGTATTCAGCTAGCTAAAACAAGTTGAACGTGTTTCTTACCGGAGTCCTTTTGATCGTCGTTACTTTGGGCATCATCTTTGGTTACGTTCGTACAACTTTCAGCATCACAGAGGTAACTGCAACCAAAAGAAGCACAACGCTTACTGGAATTACACAGTTGGTATATGGGCAATATTATTGATCGCGATTAGTCGATGAACGATAGCATTATTTAAAGCTGATTGATGAAAAGAGAGCAGTGGCTGGGGATCGCGCGCTCCTGCCATTTAATAGCTATTTCAACAATGTATTTTCATTTTTAGCTGTAAGGTAAGTTTTTTGAAAATAGTTTTTCTTCTGTGGCCAGCTTCAGTCTGTCGGTGCTCAATCTAAGTTAGAACAACACTGACATTCCTCGTTTATAGGTTGCATCTAACCTATAATTGGTACCACTTTTCGCGTGTGCAGACACAAACACCCCTTCTGGGTGCGTTTCCTAAGCGTACATATCATTTATCACTTCAGCTTTCTTAGATGATTCCATATTGACACGTCTAGGTCCGTTTTCGTCCGCACACACTATACACATTATATTTGAATTTAAACTAAAAACCCTGCCTTCGGCAGATGCTTATTATTTGATTGATTTTGATAATAAACGTCGTTCTTGCAAATTCATTAAGCTTTTCACTTATTTCACTCATGACCAATTTTGTTCTAATCTAATGGACGACCCAACAGACCTTTCTCCGACTGACTGCAGCGTCAGAAGCAGATATCTTCCTTTCGGAGAAATCTTTAAATCGATCAAATTCTCCACACGTTATTGTTTTAGAAAGTAGTGCAGTATTTAGGTCGTTTAGCATTTACGTCTTCGGAAAGTACCGGCCCGCTTTAAAAAGTAGACCTGAAGTCTTTTTAAATAATGTGCATGCAGCTTCCAGCAAAACAACTCAAATTCCAAATCGAGATAATATAATTATTATATCTGTATTCTTCTGCCTTTTTTACGTGTTTAGGATTTCTTTGAGTTCCTGTTTTCTTGTAGAGCTCTCGCGTCGGCGTGTGGCAATCTTCAGAAGCCGCATGATGTCTAGTAACGGGACGGACCACTCGTTTTGGCCTACCACAGAGATTTAAAGTTTTGTTGGACGCTCGACATTGGACCGTAGCTAATCTTCATCATATTCTGGAAACAGCCGTCACTATGTATTCGTGGTTTTGCCTTCGAGAAAACTGGCCTTTTTATATGCGGAATAAAGAAGCGAATGCTAAAGTAAATCTTAATTTAAACAAAATACCCTACATATAAATCCATTAATTAAATATCAAATCGCGTTTTATATTTAATTTACTTACTAATATATTTAATAGTGTGCTTACTGGCAACATAATTTCTTTCAGCCTATTGTTTACGACATTTTTTTGTTAAGTTTTAATAAATCGGTAGCTCGGGACAGATTAGGATCGTTAGCTAACATTGCGAGCTCTACTAACAGAAAAAATTACCATTTAATCGATTAGAGCAAAGGTATGACTGCAAGAAGAGTAGAACGTGGCTAGTCATAGGCTACATTCGTGCCTGTTATTATCCAATAAGTACCCTTTTTTCTAGAAAAAAACGTGACAATTTATTTCAACGATGCAACAATGGAGAAGGATAGGTCGTAGTGACACTCTATCGTTAATTACACATTTAAGGTAAGGTCTTGAAAATGGGCTCTACAGATTAGTTCAGGTCGGATAGGTTTAGGAAGCAGGATATGGTGCCTGACAAGTATGCCTTTTTTCCCTTACTCGTCCTTTACGAACTTATTACATAGAAAATTGAATGAGATGTGTTACGGCTGAAATTGTCAATAAGCCGACGTTTCTCGAATAAATAACGTAATAATATTTTCAAATAGGTAGTAGTAAAAAGCTGTCACTTCTGGGTTTAACTGTTAAGGATAATCGCGTTTTTCTCACTCAAAAAGACACCCTTGTTATTGCATAGATTGATGATCATCTAGCTATTTGTCGTTGCTTCGAAAACATACGCAAGAATAAAAAAAAACACGCATCACAATGGTAACGAGAAACCAAGGAAGGCTCAGCGGTAAAACGGTCACTGCGGCCCGCTGGAGTAATCCTTCTTCGTAGATCTTCGTATATAAGACATATGTGTTCGTTCTATCTATATGTGTAACGATCTCAACGAAACGAATCCACTATCGAATACAACATCTGAAACTACAAGTTAAGTTTTCCAAATGAAGTCGGCGCCTTCGACTGACAAAACCGAGAGGAAATATTAAAAAAAAAAATATAGTATTCGATATACAACCCAGGCACTCACTGGGTCCATGGACAGATCATTTCATCTAATATAATGTTATTTGACATTTGAGTTGTATTTGTGCAAACTCTAAGAGGTATTGGCGCTTATAAATAACACAGACATACGTTCACACTGTTTTTACACTGTGATCACGTGGACCAGATTTGGATGCGAACTAATAGTTTTGGCCAAACCACCAAAACAAACGTATGTGTTAAGGAAAAAGTTATTATAAATCTAATATAAATGCGTTTTCGCTAAGAAACTAGTAGCAAAAAAGCAACAATCTTTGAAAGTGAGTTAATACAAAAATTCTGAGAATGCTGTCGCTGTCCTTATACATAAGCAACGACTGAAAAGTTACAAATAAATGTGGAAAGTTTTCATTCGACAATCCAGGAAGCAAGTTCTATTGTGTTCCATAACTTCTACTCCAACAGGTGATCAAGGACCATCAATCATCATGGCGCTAAATAGTGCGAGCAGTTGCATCAATGTTACGTATTTCATTAGCTCTTTCTTGGATCATCATGGATGATTATTGTGGGGGCTAGGAGAAACAAGGGCAATTCACAATGTTGACAATAGGAAAAAATTAGGCATTAAATAGAGCGTTTTGTTGTGTTGTATTGATGGTTATCGACCAAGAGGTAGCTGTAGATAATGACTGTACCATAGTTATTTCACTCGATTTTCTGCGAATATATTACTGGTCCAAATAGGAAAAAAGTAGGGTAAGCTCCCAATCGATTTCGATGCAAAAGTAACGTCTGCACAAATAGTAAAAACATAAATTACGTACATCACAAAATACCGCAAGGCACTATGTCGTTTCTTGCTGCGACTATGACGTGTATCAAAGAGAAAATTTTCTTTAAATGGTTTCTTTGGCAGCTACAATGGATCTCGGTAAGCCTCGTGCTCACTCTTTAGTACATGTTCGAAATATCTGAGAATACCTCTCGGAGTGCGGCGAAGACAAATCACTCTATCTTATAACTACTAGGGCTGTGTGTACTCGTAAAGCATAATGTCGTCCTTTAATGAATAGTTCGCCAAGAAAACTACACGCGATTACCTGATCGTTCGATGTAGGTAAATTGTGGGTCCGTACTTCTATTATAGATCTGGGTGTTTAATTTTTTAAATCCACATTCCGCTAGTAATTCAGTATGCAATTCATGTTTTCGATAGGTGAAGCTCGATGACGGAGGCTTGCCCAAAAAACCTTTGCGTGGCCTAAAAAAAAATTGCTAAAATCTCCCCAATTTACCATTCTGCTTATTAAGCTTTCCTCGTCAAATGAAGAAATAAACATTGCGCTTATCGATAAATACACTTTAAGCAAACATTATTATACTTCATCTAAATTAACAGCTTCCGCTATCGGACAGTTCATGCCCAAAATAAATGAGTCCCCATAAACCGTAACTCGAAGCGAGTTCTAGGTTACATATATAGCAGAGCATGATCCTTAATGCGATCTTTTCTTTCGCACACTTTCAATACTACTTAGAGCACATGAAAAGACTCAGTTCGATCAGTTTTGTCGCTTGTTTACGGTTTTTAAATTTACAACAGGTTGACTGATAACAGAAGACGAAAGCGCGAAGGGAAGGACGAAACGATGCCTTTTGGCAAAAAGACATGAAATGCTCCTAAGTAGGCTTAGCTGCCCAAGGTGTAGGTAGCTTTGCATTCGGTACATTGTTAGTGAGGCTAAGTTTTAAACCTAGATTACACTTGATCAGAGCTACTAATCCCTGAATCCCCCGAATCTGAGCAATAGATATTTGATATCCATTTAATTAGGCGAACAGTGTGGGGGGCCAGTCATTAAAAATGTTTTGAGTTCTATGAAAATACCGAATAATTATTTAGATACAGAGCGATGTTTATAATGTAAAAAATCAGAACACTCACCGAACAACACCCGTACGTGCATCAATACCGAGCTGCTTAGTCTCCCGTTTCCCGCTGAACACCCAACGATCCGTCTTTAGGCTGCTGTAAAGAAGGCTACCGGCATCAGCAACTACTTCTACGTGTTTGCCATCAAAACGGTAAAGCGATCCATCAAGTGAAGGTATATATCTTGCTTGTCCTCCTCGGCCATCGTCGAGGATGAGCGTTTTAAGGGATGTTTCCAATAGTGGGTCACCAGTACGCGTCCGCCAGACAATCTCCCCTGAAGGATTAACCGCGGTTACTTCGCCATTCAGCGTAGAAATGAGCACTAGCTCCGGAATAGGTTGTGCCTCTCTTCTGTTTCGAAGTCGGTTAATTGTCGAGCAGTCAGGAAGTTGCCTTATAGCAGCCTCAGTAGGAGGCCGGTGTGGCTGTGGCGCTGGCGTTACCTCCATAGATTCTGCACAGGTCGTTGCATGGTCAGTTTCATCGATGTAGATCTCCTGCACTTCTTCTGTTTCATGGTACTGTTGACCCCGTCGTTCCTCGATGTGGGGCATCGAGGCTGGCATCACGGACAAGCTCGTGACAGCTGCAAGTACAAGAAGCGATACCCCTGCAATAAGCAACCGTGGGCACAAGTGTCTGTTGACAAAACAGTACGCAATCATGGAGACTGCTAAGATGCACCACAGTTTCGACCCATATGTGCAGTTCCAAAATTAAGCAGAGACCTCGCTTGATGACGTGGAAAGTTAGGCAGGACAGAAAGGTTTGTCCCGACCTGCTTTTTTATGTTTAGGTAACTCTAAGTAACTGTTTGCACGGAAAACGTTCCTCCTCACACCCTTTGCATACGATGGGATTTAGAACTTCCAGTTACACATATATACACAGAACTCGCTTTACAAAAGAAAACTTAGTAATTACACAGACAAATGGTGCAGCAGGAATAGAGCTCGATAAGGTCAGCGCGGGCTCGTGCGTTGACTGGGTTCGAGCCTGTGCCTTGCAGCCTTAGACGTTCTTTCTAAAGTCGGCTTCGCACAGCAGAACGGTTAGTGCTTTGAAACGCTATACTGCGCTGTCCTAAAGTACACAAGAAAGAAGAAAGAATAATATTAACGACAAGTTGCTGAGATCAGCCGACCGCGCTTCTCTGTGGCGCAGCGATTGTGCGACTCTTTATTTGGGGTCACTACTTTTAGTTGAGGTTTTTTTCTGGTAAAAGCACTCCACACGCTTAACACATGCACATCAATGACTAGTAATAGTAGCAAATACATCTAAGGGTCCACTGGCTCCAGGTGTCCACTATAAGTAACAATGTCAGAGATGACAAGAAGAAGGACACAGCGGGGCAAAATCTTGCAAAAGTGTACGGATCAAGCGTACTGTCTCGACAGTGAGCCAAGGGTTATTCATCCAATGGTAGCGATTAGCAATAATCGTTATGAGGGAAAATCCATATCAATTTCACACTTTTCTGTCCTTCATACGGGATGCACAACAACATTCAAATAAAACACTACCGGATCGATAACAAGAGTCATCCCTCATCCATCGACTTCTGAAGCGCCAATAACACGATCATCAGCAGCAGTGATAGCCGTAACAATAGAGGTCGTGATGAAGTTCCAGTTTGCATGTGAAGTCGTCCGAGTCGCGAATCCACGGAGAAACTACCTATTTTAAACAGCCTGATAGTTTCGATTCACAGCCAGTGTTCCCGAATACTCAGTGCAACTCGATGGTCCACTGGTAGAGGTAGCAAATAGAACAGTTTCAGAAAATTTATCGCGATTTTTATTGATGTTGTTCAATAGAGCGACAACAGGCAAGCTGGATTTGATTGGCGCGTCTGCATCTGTTTTCCCGATTCGGTAGGTACAGAGTGAACGACACGTCTCGTTGGCCCAGCAGCGCCGCGGCTGCTTCTGTGCGGGGGATACCTTTACACCAACGCTAAACGGCAAAATTTCAACGGAACAATACACCATGTAAATAGTAAACGGCCAGCCAGCAGCCGTAGCGGTCGTGACTGAGTTGTACGTATGTGTTAGAAGCGCCTAGCAAAACAAATCAGTAGAGCTATTCGGGTAAAAGTCTAGAGGTCGTAGTACCATTAAGCTATGGGTGCCATTGAGCTATCGTCTCTTTTATATGTTAGCCTTTATCGACAGCTGGTAAAGTCGGAGGCGTGAATTGGTACCAAAACTATTTTGTCTTTAATCTACTCAAATGTGAGCTTCTTAAGATTACGTAATTATTTCTCTGCTACGTAAACTTTCAATTATGAAATGGTGCTGAAGATCATGATTGTTGCCAATAGGCTATTGAGAACAGAAGGAGAGAAGAAATAAAAAAGTAGAAGTATGGTCACCTGAGTTGTAAAATGTGCAATAAAATTGAGATAAACGAACGGGTTCTCACTAAAACAATGTAAATAGGTAAATGCATGGCGGTTCCTTGAAATTCTGCGATCCGATTCCATAGGCAATGTATGGATAACAATTTAGAGACAATCTTGCCGTAAAAACAAAAGGGTAGACTGGTTTGTAACGATGCATACAAGTCTTAAACAGACACTTCGATGCTTCTTTGACTTTCAACCGTTTTTTCGTCATTCGAGCTGAATGATACATTTTACTTCTGATAAGATATCTATTCCATTTCTGGCTAATTTATAATAAGGGGGGAACCAGTTAGAATGACTGAGTAACAGAGATACCTAAACAGCTAAGTTAGTTAACGCAAACTGAAGTTTAAATAACACTATGCAAAAATATTCAATTTTCAGCTATAGTTTTCGCTATATAGACCGTATGGTCATACACGTAGGGATACTGGTTAAAGTTTAAACGTAACGGGTTTTGTGTATTCCGCTTTTTAGAGCTTCTTCTAGATGTTTGCAAATAAAGTTTTTCTTTTTGTTATTATGAAAATCGCTAGTCTATACAACGGAACCCTTGCGATGAGGTAAGTCACAATTGTTTATACAGTATTTTTGAAGATCAATTTATCGATTTTAATTGCCTGAAAAACCATTTAAATTACAATATCAACTATAAGTTTTCTATTAAACTCACTAAAAAAAACCAAGTTACAAACAAATTGCTTTATGTAATCTTTTCAGAGTGTACTAAAATACAAAACCACATTGGCTAACTCTTTAGGAAAAATCTGTACCGTAACCTCACATCGACCGACTTCATTTGCCACCGCTCATGTGCATAATAAGTTAATAACATTTTGTCGCTCCCTGATGTGCGAAATGTGTGCTTTATTTCTACCCCAACAAGAACTTATGTTAATACCGAGTTTTTACTTAGGAATAAGTAAAAACTCGGTATGCTTTTACATACTGCCCGAACACATGTGGGCAATTATATGGGTTGACTATGGGTCGAGTATGAAGGCCACTTGCGTACGACAAACTACTTATGAGTACTATTTCTTTTCAGGGAGTTCAAAACCCGTGGATTACGCAAATTTGATTTCACTGCTAATGAATGACTACGAAACTTTCATCCAGAATCTTTGTTGGAACTTGGTTTGGGGCTCATTCAAGTACTATGTCGCCCTTGGGACACATCAAATCGCTAATAGCAAATATTACCTCAAGTCTAGAATGGCTACTTTTGTTGTGCTAGTCCGTGCGCAGAAATTATCGTATGCTTAGCAGACGTTTGCCCCGCCGTCATTTCTCTCATCCAGCTCTTCAGCCCTCACCCTTAACTTATTTCGACCCTTCCCCTCGCGGTACTTGATTCGTGTTTACGGCGTACGGTGAACGAATCAAAACACTGACATAGACACACACATAGACCCAGATGCACCTAGACATGAGTAACAGTTTAACGAACAGCTGTTGGTTATCCGAAGAACGACGGCTGCGGGATAACGCAGGACTTTCGTTGGTTGGAAAGCCGAGCGATTTAACGACGGTGGCGACCATCAACACTGCTCCAATTCGGCTATCGATTCTTCATTAAGCAAATCACTAGCATTTGTTGTAACACGAATCACAGAAGAAGTCACGTTTGTCATAGCTGTTGTATTAACAAAAAAATTTTTTTACGCGATAACAGAGTGGGCTGCTTCACCTGCTGCCCTGGCGGTGTCCGCGTCGATAGGTCGGTGGAAACGAATCCCGTCTTCACGATTATCAAATATTTGAAGGGAATGCAAAGATAGCTGGTACGATTGTTGTCGCTAGTGCTATTCAGTCACTGTCCATGAGTTCCAGCAAATCGCGAAGCACAAGGGAGGAATCAAATGATTACAGGCAAGAACGTCAATTCTCTAAATCCCAATAAGTTGAACTGGTGGCGCCGCACTTCACAGCTGATGTGAGAATTAAGTTAGTGGAGCTGAAATGCTGATGGGTGGCTACAGTGGCTTCAATCTTTAACGTGGTTGTTTATGTTGTTATTGTTATTTTATGGGTGGTACGACTGGTAAATTTACAATAGTAGAAACCCAGCCGTGTCTGTATTGTAGTTGGAGCACGTGCGGCTAATTCAAAACGTGGCTAAACGGGGACGATTAGAGTAACTTCAGGGAAAAAAAAGTTGTTATTCGCTGCTTTCTAAGCTGTATATGTTTCTTTCGTATCTTCGGGTGACTGCATTCGATTGACTGGCTATTTATTAAGGCAGTTGCAGGTCATCTATTTAGGCTATTGATCACAGAATAAGTGATTTATCATCGCCTGCTTGCCGTTCTGCTGTATCTAAAGGAGAGTACTGTTGCTAATGCGCAAAGTACTAGTGACACCCAAGTAATTGACCCATGTGAAAGTGTTACCCACCGGAATAGTAACATGCCAACTGCCGTTGCAATCTTAGTGCTTAATCTTCTAACGTATGAATCTGTGTGAGTGCCTGGATATACGTGTATAAGACGGAAGTAACCGCTGAAATGAAACACGTTATACGTGACAAGACGTTGCGTGGCAATTGCTTAGAAAAATGCCAGCTGATATGAGAACGAGGACGTGAAAATAGAGTGTTTTTAGACTTTGTAGCGTGACGTTTTTGAGTTATTGCTGCGTAACAAACTTTACCTGGGTAAAGCGTGAGACGCAAGTTAAATCATTTTGCGTGAATTGTAAGTCTGTGTACGTTTTCGTGAATCTGCGTTGATAGATTGTATTGGTGCAATAATAAAGGCTACTAGACGGTGAACACAAAGGCGGTGATGATGACAAGGGCAAAAGTGTCAACTAGGTTAACGAAATCAAACACAAAGGAAGTTTACTTGCTGGATCATTACGCGCCATAAATCCTCTAATCTTGCTTCCAGGTGACAGGAAGTTTATAACGAACGTCACTATATCATAACTCGGAAGAAGTTTTTTTGAGGATGCGATTACGTGCCGAGACCAACATCGAAGCTCATTTGCATGGACGAACCCGCAAGCATAACAGATCATGTGAACGTATACCTGTTTGCCAACAAACGAGAAGATTGTCTAGTTTAGTTCGATGAAATGAACTAGTATCAATAAGAAGAAACGCGGCAACAGTAGCACAAAATACAAATAATTCTAAAAAGGTCTGGTACTCTTTGAAATCTAAGCGGTGGGAAAGAATAACCACGTTGGGCTCTTAACAAGGTTAGACCGTCGATAGTCGCTAACATAACTACTTAATCACGAGTAACCGCAAAATAACAGTAATTGGCATAGCTGTGGGCGATTTCTACGATAACTTAAGCCATAACGCCACCTCCGACTCGGTCTCAGCCGGGTCAAAAGTTAACAACAGTCCATGTCTATCTTGTTGGTGATAAGCTATGCTTTATTTGAACACGCAACTAAAACGAACGGTTGCCAGCAGTTTCCAATGGGTACTCCCGCCGCATTTGCTGCCATAGTCTTTCCTATACTTCCGATGTGCAGACAATGGTCAGGGTAGCAATCACCTGCTGCATCAGCTGGTTGTTCTACACGTCGGTGCATGTTAGTTTGTACGGTAGGTCGACCGTTGGAAATCATCTCCAAGCGATCATCCACTGTCTCATTCACAGTGGGTGTCTCGTGCCTCTGCCTTTCTGCGGTGTTCGCTCTGGTAATGATGCTCTTCGCAGACGCCACCGCTGCTGTCACTGATTTTGTCCCCACCATCCCTTTCCCTGCAGCCCTTGCTCTCGTCGCGAGCGCCGCCGTAGCGTCGATTGCGGCCGTTACTTCAGCTATGGAACCAGTGTCGTACTGCACCTAGTAATTGTAGTAATGTGTATCTATCTATCTGTTTGTGCAAGGCGACTTGAGGCAAAGCATGTTCTGAGCAACCGAATAGCTGCAAACGGGTCTCCACTGAGGTTAGAATCCTGCATACTGTGAAGCTGCTGGCAACCTCCTTGGTTGTGGCCCCTGGCTCGTTTGGCATACAATATTTGCCGTACGCGTTCGTCGGTTTCTATTCACTGCAGCAACTTGTCGTCTCCACACAGTGGGAAAGTAATTGCTTTGCTCTCTCCGTGTTTCCTTACCGTCCTTCGGTTTGTTCATGTACAAAGCGTTCCTACCGTACACGCTACCATATTTTTGCGTGCTTCCTGCTGGCCTCCTGCAACAAGCAGCAGACGTAGAGCATAGTAGGGCATCCGGTCACACGTACATAAACTGGTTTCTTGTAGCCAGACGGTGTCTTCGTCGAGATCGACACAAACGGACACGTAAGAGGTACCGGAAACTAAGACCATCCATTAGAACGGCAAACGCCGTAATATATTTGTGAGCTCCGCGCTAGGAGGCGCTGTAAGCAGAAAACATTTTATTCTCTCCACGTGAGAGATCACAGTCTGTGTGTTTGACTGTGTGCGCCCTGCCAGGCATTCTGGTGCTGCTGTCGCTAGCGCCATCTTACCGGGGTTCTTCCTGTGGGGCCTTTCTGCCTTTTTCTCAAAACGTTGGCAACGTTATTTAGTTTGATGGCTGCCATCATGGTGTGGGTGTCTGCTACTGGTACTCGCTCGCGCGGCCATCCGCCTGCACAACGATCGACTACTCTCTTGAGACCCTCTCCGTTTTGCTGCCTCTTTGGCACTGGCTCGTCGGTCTGATCTGGTGTACTATGCTTTGAGCGGCTGCACGCCGCTACGACGATCGGCGCACGACCTATCGTTACCATTAACGCGACCACTTCTGCTGCCGTTGCCCAACTCTGCTCTCTCCATTCGGTCTCTTCTTACCCTCTACGACTCCAAACACGTAGACGGATAAACGGAGACATACAGACTAGACTACGCATCCTGCACTGCTCCCCTCGGCGCGGCTGGCGGCTGTGGCCCATCCGTGCGAAGGTCCGGCCGCTGCCAACCTCGGGATTTCCTCCTTTCTCCGTATTTTCCTGCTCTCTTGCCCCTCCCCCTCGCCTAGGCCCTCTCCGCCATTTTCTCTCGCGCGATCTCACACTAGGCCGCTGGCTCGTCACACTGGCCATCGTCCGAACTGCCTGCTGCTGCTACTGCTGCTGCTGCTGCTACTGCTGCTGCTGCTGCTGCTGCTACTACTGCTGCTACTTCCTTCCATTGCCTGTATCGACGATGTTGGAGTTGAGTTGGCTGCGCGTCCATCGCCAATGACGAAGGTACTCGGTGCTCGCTACTCTTCCGCCTGTATTGATGACGATGTTGCTTCTATGGTAAGGACAAGTCGGGTGGCCATTTGACTGATTATAGAGGAAATCGTAAAACCAAGCGTTTTCGTGTAATGGTCTACCGTCGTAGTCATGGTACCGATGGTCTCGGAGGTAATGCACTGTTTGTGTATTGCTGGTGAAGCTACTGCTGCTGTTAGCAGCTGGAACCGGAGCCGCGACCGTCGTTCCGTGCGCTGCAACATCGCCACCGTTATGAAAGGAACGGCGTCGTGTTGATCGTCCTACGAAGTATGGTTTTCTACATTTGGCAACTAAGCTTTCTCGACTACCCACTGTGTGCGTCAGTAGCCAACCTTCACGAAGTATTGAGCTCTGAGCGTCCAGCAGTCAACTAAGACAATCTATATGCTGTTCATCTGTTTGGAAGACGGCAATGGCATGTTCGAGGATAGGACCATAAGCATAATGCCGCAAATCAAGTCAGTGGTAAACTTACAGTGGCAAGAAAACTAGCCAGAGTGAGAGACCTGATTGGCAACGTTCGTCGGCAACGATCGGCGACGATTAAAAAGGCGTCATCCACAGTTACGGTCAAGGTGCGAGCCGTAAGCCGTACCAGCGTACAGATAACCACAGCAGTAGTCGGTATTCTTTCGCTTCTAATCTCTACTCGAGTAGGCGAGGTATCAACTAGCGCCAATATGCTTTCGGAAGGCTTTCCGCCGTGACTCTGCTGCGGCCGCTGACTAACCGGGTCGTGACAGCCAAGAAGCTAAAAAGTGCGGTGAAAGGTTGATAATGGCGTGACGACAACTGAGTACATCAGCTAACTGCGACGACCGACACCAATAACGAAGGCATGAAGAAAACTCACGAGAATCATCTTTGATATCCGAAGCGACATCGCTGGACGCCCTCGACAGCTACCCAACGCAGGTATTCGGACAGAGCGGACCCAGTGAAAAGCTTCTGAACGGCGTCAAAATACATCTACCCACCCCAAAAAAGCACGAGAAGTGACAGCGACAAAAATCACTTCAAGCAGTAAACGATGGAAAAAAATGTAGGTATTTAGCGACGCTTCGAAAGGTTTTCGTTAACGGGTAATGCCAATGAACGACTAGAGGGTTGCTGAAAAGCTAGAGTCGAGGTCCAGGTCAACTGCGCCGTCCTGTCGGATCGGCCTGCATACACCATCTGTAGGCTGGTTATCAAACACTGGAAAAAAGATAAACGAAAAGAATCAAATATAAGACGGCGGCCAGATGCACGTAGACGCCAAGATAGCAAATAGAAATTTCACGAAACAGCCGCATTAGAAGTGGCTCTATGCAAAGAGAAAGCTGGCCTACGCCAAATATCAAAACCACTATCGGATAAAGTAGACTGTCTTACTGACAACGCTGACGTTAGACAACTATTGGCGGCTTGGCCCCCTATGGACGCCTATAAAGTCTATAGTTTTTAATTGCATCCCGCGCTACGGGTGCGAGATCCATTTTGTCCAGCTGCCAGTGTTCGCATCTGTTTGCCTATATGTTTAATAGCAGAATTTCGAAAAACGAGAATAAACTGCAACCGCAGGACTCGTCTATACCCCGCCTAAAATTTAATATTATCGTTATCGCATAATAATTAATTGATTTTTGGATCGGTGATTCAGTTTATGCAGTAAACAAAAAAAAAAAGATCAAAAAATATGTTCTCTAAAAAGAAAGTTCAGCCAATTGGTGAGTTCTAGGTGAACAACGAACAAGACACGTGGAACGACCTAAAAAGATCTGGACGTCCTATTTGGTTCAGACCCATTCCCTAACCCAGACTTGTTTGGGCTAACGACTCAATGCTACAGCGCAAAAGTGGCGGACCCAGCTGGTTGAGCTATCAGTTCACGGAGCGATGGAGGAGTGCTGGCAACAAGAAGAGAGAACCAAAATCTCTATTCGCGACAATATCGTCGTTTGCTCACAACAAAACAACTGTCAATTACAACTGCAACGTCCAGCTGCAGTCATAGTTACGGGAACGTTATTCTGATTGCTCCCAGCCATCACTTCCTGTTTCTAGCAGGACGTCTAAAAGTTACGTTCGGTTACCATTGCAGCCCCGCGGAGCAGCGACAAGTACTGTAGTATGAGAAATTAGAAGCAAAAGTGATAAAGAAAAAAGTGGACCATCAGCAACGAGGGAAAACAGTAAGCGGATCCTATATAGAAGAAGGAAATTAAGGAAAAAAAAATAAAAGAGGGCCAAATAATAAAAACGGGTGAGTTCTCTTCGCTAAGAAGAAACTAACTAATTAATAGGGGAGTGAAGAACTGGCTTGTCGAACCCTCATATGCCCCTGTCCCGTAATTAATTATCGTCGAGCTTTCTGGTTGGTCAATTGCATAGTTTCATAGAAAGACTCGACAGGTATCATTGTTGCCACGTCCGCATGCGTGCCAATCGAGAAACACCACAGCGTGTACTAAGAAAGTGCTCGCCCACCTCCGCCCACCAGTAGAATTCACAATGGCTTTGTTGTGCAAAATGTTCCAGCGAGTGGAGTCACGAAAGTGCGCCGCCTATGGAGCACAACAGGGACTGTGAGAAATCGTGAAGTCGCAACAAAATAGGCAAATCGCAAGCGAGCAATAAAACAGGAAGCAAAGTAGCCAGGCACATATAAAAGTAAGCGTTGCATATTCAATAGGCAACACATATTTTGTATTCAATATTTATTGGCCACTCAACACACAGACACAAACATATATATATATACGCTTATCATCTATGTATATATAAATAGCAAGATCAAGAAACGAAAGTTTAACGGGGACTGTGAGCACGACCAGAAAAGAAAAGCTCCCATCAGAACATCAAGTAAACCACCCAGTTTATGTTGGCAACTATCCGATCCTTCCGTTCCCTCGGAGCAATCGCTAGACGTTTGATTCGTGCAGAAGGATCTCGGTCGCAGTCTTTGAAACCCGTCATTTACGCGTCTGCTTACGGCATTCCCATCATTGGTCAAAGCAGTTCGTTCGGTCTCCTCGTAGCGTCTCGTCTACGATACTGTGTTATATTGCGGAATGAAGACAGCCGTGCGCTGTTCAAATTCGTACAAGATTGGTTTACTGCGACTGAGCGATTCTCTCGGAGCATGACGTTGACTAGTTGCCGTCAGCCGTATAGTTGTGGTGTTGCTGCCGCAGCTTCCGTCAAGTGCACTATTGTATGTTAACAGGGCGCGTGTATCTGTTTAAGCCTACCGCTCTAATACAACAAAAGCGACATCATGGCGGACCTGGAAGCCGTCTTGGCTGACGTCTCTTACCTTATGGCCATGGAGAAGTCGAAGTCGACGCCCGCTGCGAGAGCAAGCAAAAAGATCGTTCTTCCGGACCCCAGGTAGGAGGAAACATTAGTGTCTATCTTATTAAGAATTACTATATTTGTTATATACAGCCCTTTATTAGCATTATTATCATTATGAGTGATATGACGCTATATGACTCTCGCTGGTGACTGTCTCGTGTGATAAACGCTATCGTTAATATGTCTCTGACGAGTATTTATTATAAAGCAACTTGAAGACCGAGTGTTCTGATGTACAGGGCTAATATACACCGTGCGAATTGATAATTGAGGAACATATTCATTGCCAAAAAATTAAGAGTTTGATAGAAACAGCAGAGAATATTCTGTTTTTCGTACACAGAAACAACTGTTGTTCTTTCAGAAATGTTTATTTTCGAATTTAATAGTCTATTTCTTCTTGTTTTGAATGCGTTTTATTTATTAAAATTAATCCGCTTCAATATTGACGAGGGCGCATGCCCCCAACTTGAGATTCGAGCCTTTCTGCAGACCTTTTAATTTCGCTTGTTCGCATAAACATAGATTATTATTATTGTTATTACTATAAAAAATGATGATACAAAAAATTAGTTATAGAAAAAAAAAGAGACGAGGCGGACAGTTGCTGCAGTTAATGCAGGTGTTCATTACTTAAGGATACTTTGAGAATAGTTAAATTACTATATATACTAGGTGCACACGGCTGAATGGCGTGTATCTGGCTTTGTATTCGGCATAGCCTGTTCGGTAGAGGGGACACAAAATGTATAAAACCTACTCTTCATCATGTGTAGGTTATAGGTGCGACGCTAGCCTATTATCACTACATCATCTCGTCTACATGTGACATCGAAACCTTAACGTAAGCGGTGACCCCGTTTATTCAATATATTTACTTATATAGATATATATAGCACCACGAGCCTTTCACGTATCAACCCCCGATCCGGCAGCTTTCTGACTCATTTGTAAGGCTCGTCACTGTAGCTGCAAGATGCCGAAGTCTCCGCGACCGATTTTAATATTCTTGTTTACGGAAATATAGTGCTCCACTTGGCCGTATCCTTTTTCCATGTGTACTTCAATGATTTTGTCATGGGACAGCTGGCACGCTGATATCAGAGTAAAGCTTAGTTTATTAGTGTAAAAGCGTCATCTACGATCTCCACCAACCGTTAACTACGAAATTTACGAGATTCGTGTTCTACCTTGTTGGGCAAGCAAAGCCCTATAAGTTGTTTAACGTATCTATTACAGTTGCATTTTCGCAACCTATCTTCTACAAACGGGCCCGAATATTTAAGCCTAGTGAATTTGCAGCAATCACGGCTAAAAGATATCTTGCTAGCTGTTAGGGGTACCTTTGTGCATTTAGGACGAAGCCGGCCAAGACGTTCCTAGAACTGAAAACCTATTGAAAAAGCTGATACCGACGAACTGGTAAACAATATCACTTTCGTTATTTTCGAATCTTATTTCTCTATGTAATACCTCTATGGATGGTTGTCGTCATTTATGTGAAACAAACAACATTAGATTTTTCGTCCGACCATCCGGTATGTTCGTCAACGACAGCCGCGGTTTCGGTAGTGTCAGGGGTCTAAATAGCGGCTTAGCGCTAGCAACAGCGGGCTCCTCCACGATCTAGGCTCTAGTTTCTTGCCAGCCTTACAGTTTCCTGCTCCATTGACGTCTCCGCAGGGAACCGTTGTGCCTCCGCTCAGAAATACCACAAACTGGAGAACGAGGGCGTGCCATCGCTGCCGCCACCATTCGCCTGACTGCCTAACTACTGATAACTAAGTGCACCAGCAATCATCGACCAAGTTCTACCTATTTAACTCCCGTGATAGCTCAGTAGGTAACGTATTTGAGCGGGTGAGGTATCTTAGGGTCACGTCTTAGTCTAGGTTCGAACCCAGGCGTCAACAGCGTTTCGCACTGGGAGCCAACCGTCTAGTGAGATGCCTAACGGCGATACCAGACGTAAAACTCGAAACAAAAGAGATTTGACCTATATAACTGGCTATTTATCTATGCAGTGGCCGCGCAATTTCCATCAGAGTTGTCACCAGCAACCTTTCGACATGGCTACAGATAGATATAAATAGTCGTGCCTTTGACAGGGACAAAAACACACGGAACACTGCGCGCCTCTAGCTACTATTATTGCATCAGCACTTTGAAAAGGTACGAATTAACCAGCAATTTACTAAGTTGAACCTGATTGAACGGACCGAATGAGTTTAGACAACTAGAAAAAGTGGACGCGTCCCTCGAGACGGAAGAGAACTAACCGGAACGCAGAACGCAGCCTTCCATCGGCAGAATTACAGTGATTGTATTTTTATTATAACTAAATGATCATGCATATACTGTTGAATAATTTTTCTGTAAAGACAACGGTATGATTACGAATGTGACGATCTTCATCGTATAGCCAGTTGCAGTGTCTATTGACGTTATATAGAACGTTAAGGAAAAATCCTTAACGTTCTATATAACGCTGTAAGAGTACAGCCTTTATCTAGGAAGGGGACTATGCCTCTGCCATTAGGAGCTCATTGTGTATACCAAACTCCAATACTGATCTGAATAGATGATTTTTCAGATCATCTCCAATAGAGACTGCCCTGATGCCCGAGTCGGCGTTAATCTGCGCTGAATGCTGAGCATTCGTTGTTGACTTCGCCTTCAGGTATAAAAACCCCGATGTTGTGCTAAGGTTCTCATACTTCATTTAAAAAGTCTCATTAAATTATGTATCGGTCGACGCCAGATTGCGAGCACCACTCGCCAGGTTAGTAAGGGCGGGATTGGTGCAGTGAATTCGACCTATAAATAAATCGATGAACGCCCTTTCGATGACTCCGATATGAATACCCGGCATGCAAGGTCGATTTTGTTACTAACGGTAGGGGTAATCCGGTTTTTTACGAGAGGCAGTAGAATCTTTTTTACGCCCCACGATTTCGAGTGCGATAATGCAACAGGGCGTTGCAATACATACGCGAATGGTGGTCACTCTAGAGTCACAAACTTCGATAACTAAAAAAAGGGCAAAACGATTGCTGTCACAATACAATCATCAACACAGATATGTCCCCTTGCCCTCTTTTGTCAGTCAGGTGTCATGCAGTGCCCCATCAAATAACCGCACCTGTTAACTGATCGAAGGACCATGATTAACTCGGAACTGATCAAAGGTTGTTTGAGGTCGAAGAGAAGGCCGATTTGCGCCCAAAGCTAAAGTTGTAGCTAGCAGCCAACGATAGAAGCAGCAACGTCAGAAGATAGTGAATTTGACTTTATTGTTAGTTAGCTTTTATAGGGGACGTTGATAGATAAACTACTCACGCGCTCCGTAGCGTATTCTTGACACTAAACACATTTCAAGTTTGTTAACGTACAAGCAAGCCATTGTTCGATTCCTGTTCAGTGCAAAAGTAAACGCTGATTAGGCAAAAACGCGCGTCGAACAGATTTCCTAGATGAAGAAAATAAGTGTAGAATCGTCAAGACAAGTATCGAATACGGTAGAAAAAAAGTACCGTAACGTAAGGCAGCTGTTGTACTGCATCCTCTCATCAAACCCTTCGTTTACTCATGGTCAACAGTATGTACCATTGGCTAGCTTTTGCTATTCTACCAGACCAGTGACATCGTTACACCGGATCCGTCACCCCTCTTACGAGATCGCGGCATATTGGTCTCGGTTCAAGCTTGAGAATTAAGTAGGCCGACTGGCATAGACCGCATATTCGACACCTACCTTATTCCTCATCCCTTTAGCATCGAAAAATTGCAGAATATACTCAAAATGTTTGTACCACTTGTTCCAGCGAAAGGCCTGTCATGAAGGGATGCAGGCTAAAAAAATGTTATACAGTTATAATAGACACATGGGAAAAGTCACGTATGCCATCTGGTAACGTAAGCCACTTTAATAGAACCAGCTGCTGTCTTAGTTGTACATGTCATTCCTGTGCCAAATTAGCTCAGTGAGAGCTGAATTAGTAATGTCGAAAACTATTTTTTGCCGCCTGACATAGCCATCCGAAAAAAACAACTGGGCTAAAAGCAATGTTTTCTACTGTGGACCAAACCGTGACAAAACGCCGAGAACAAATAAGAAAATATTGTAATTGACAGCTGTTCATAAGCACACAAAAGAAACCATTATAGGGAAACAATTAACAGCCTATTATGTATCCAGACACCTATTTGGGGCTTTTATATTACTGTCTTCTTACCGTTCAGAATCTACATTTCAGGCGAGTAAACCCTCGAAAGTAGTAGATCAGGTTAGGTTAGGTTGTTCCGCAATATTTGTAGCGTTATCGTCACCTGACCGTGCGTCGCCTGTCGCAATGGCTACGTCAAACTGAGTTAATTGGAAATCAAAATTACTTAAAGAAGTTAGCCTTAGAACCGGTTTTTGCTACTTTTCATACGGCCTAATCGAATTAACTTATCACATGGAGTTATTATAATAGACATCATCTAATTCTAGCATTTTCTTTTGCAACGACACGTCTTTGAGATAGGGCCGTGTTGGCAGAGCGGAGTTCTCTATCGAAACTGAGGAGTTTAGCCGATTGCAGTGCACGAATTTGTGCTTATTCAAAGTAAGGAGAGGGAAATGATCAGACAAAACAATTGACATTCATCAACGCGAGGTTACCTGGCAATATAAGCCAGCAATCTTAACCAACAAACGCATACCCTATAAGAAGTCTGTCTTGTTGGGCCTCAGGACACATATTCTGTGTAACGTACGGAAAGATTAAAAAAAAAAATACTTTTGTTTTTCCTAATCCTGCAGGTCTTGTGAATACGTTCAAGCAAACTGGCTAGCGTGTCAATGACACGTGACTGCTTACAGATGGTAAATTTTTTTGGGTAAAAATCCTTGTCCTAACAACCCACTATGTTGTTAGCTTCCTTTTGCCAAGACAACTCTATGTCGTATTCTAGGTTTAATGGCTAAAAATGCAGATGTTCAATGTATTGCTAGATAGAAAATCAGCTCAAATACGATCTAGTATTAA